TCATGTCAATGTGGATTTGACACAGAGAGTTGATCATTGTTCATTTCAGTGTCCTCGATTAGGGAAAAAAATTCTATGTTTTATCCTCTTTACAGGAGCTATAACCTTTTCTCAATGGACACTTGTCACATTTAGACATTTAACTGCCATTATATGTGTCTGTGTGTGGCAGGGAATATCAAATACCCGGGAAGCAGAGTTGAGGTAAAGCCATAAGGTCGATGTCTTTAGGAACAATGACATCTTCACCTCCTCCTCTTCCGTCTGCTCCTCCACCTGCAAAAATATGAGGGACTGAAATAATACAAAATCACTACTGATGACAAAATAAGACCTGGGACAAATCAGAAACCTTAATGGAAACAAGATGTTTGTGGCTCCAAAAAGCATTCTGTGTGGATAAAAATACCAGAACCAGACCTTGGCTGGGAGTTGCTGCCACTGAAGGAGGGTGCTCCCTCTTCTTCCTGAGAAAGGAACGCCGCCTCTTACCATGTGACTTCACTGCTTCGCTCTCAGCTGGAAGTCTGCTAACAAAGGGAGGCGCAAGGACATGCAGTACCTCTGGCTCCAACAGGAGGTGCTCTGGAGTTCCATTATTTTTAAAGACCTGAGTGGGAGACAGGAAGGGAAGGATTGGGGGCGGCGGATCTCTTATTAATGTAATTAGCCTTGATACATGCTATAATGCAGATTCCACATATTCTACATATTCCTGTGGCTCATTTAATAAAAGAGAGAAGGAAAATGATGAACTGATTCTGAAAGTCAAACTCTGGCATTATTTTTGTTGTCAGGACCAATGTTTGCTGTGTGTCCTCTCCCATGCTCATTGTACAGTTATTTAATGCCAAAGCTAGTCTTTCTTGGTGAGTCTAAAATAATAAAAGAAACATGTTACATGGGAATCTGCTGATGACATTTAGCTTTTTCGTAATTCAAACATTACCCTACTTTTGGGCATTTTGAGTTTAAAGTTTTCATTGGTGCACTGCTTTCTTGGCTAGGTCTCCCTTGACTAAAGAAATCCTTAATCTCAGTGGAACTAGCCTGGTTAATAAAAAGATAAAAGTAATAAAAGGTGACATTTTATAGGTATTCGCTATGCACACAAAAACCTTTTAAAAATCATGACAATACCAGTAAATTAAACTTAATCTCATGATATAAAAAAATCAACAGTCCAACTAAACTGATTGGTGTGTTGGGTTGCGTTTGGAGACAAATACCTGGTCAGCCTCCCTGAGTTTGTCGTTAGATGCTCCTACCACCACACAGGCTTCCAGCAGAACAGGAGGCAGATGGTCAGACATCACTGACACCAGCCCAGAGACCCAGTTGGACCAGCAGAATTGGGCCAAGGGCCAACTCAGACCTGCTGGACCACAACCACTGAAAGTAACAGGGAAAGCAAACAGAGAAAGGAGTGAAAAGAGTTGTTTTGTTTCTTTTTCTTTCAGCTGCTCCACATACAGCAAACCGGGCCCCGCCCAACCCGGGATGGAGATCTGATTATCCGCATTTTTTTAATTTGGCAGCGGCTTGAGAATAACTCTGGGTTAAGTGTCTTTCCAAAGGACACTTGGACACATGGACAGGAGGAGGTTGGGATCAAACCGCCAACCCCCTGTGATCAGTAGATGACCCATTCCAGCTCATTATCACTGCCGCTGTTCTCATCAACAACAACTTCTAAAGACCCAGTCAGGCATTTTTTTTTCACCACAGCAATTATTACAGATACAAGCCTTTCACAGAATCTGAGTTTAATTTGATTGTATTACATCTGACATTACATGGTGCACATATCACATGTTCCACATATTTTCCTAACAGGAGTTGCACAACACTATGTAATTTGGGATATACTGCATAATTCTGCAATGCACTACTTTTTACACTTCTGTCCAGGGTTTTAGTCTGTGGCACCAGTGGCACCTATGAAGTGTTCTTAGAAATCCAAATAACAACTTAGGAAAAGAATTGAATTAGTTAAACTGATTTGGCACTCATCAATTCCTAGTATTTTTCACTGCACATCCACACAATGAGATAAAGGACAGACGCATTATTTTAAATCCCCTCTTTGCGGTTTTTTCCTTTTTTTTTCGGCCGTTCTCCTTTTTTGTACAGCTGAGTTACCGCAGTGAAGAGCAAATTATTTTAAATCACATTTCCCTGTTCCTGTTTCTTAGTCTAGTCTCTTCTTGGAAAATTGGGCTCATGTGTGCAGAGGAGGATGGGCAAACACACACAAAAACATAGAGAAAATGATTTGCAACTGGGCCACATTGAATGGGCTTAAAACAGCGGCAGAAACAGATACATCTTAAGCTCTTGTTGACTGAGGATGAGCTGCAAAAAATAACTAAGTGTTCTGGTATGGAAATAAAGTATTTTTAAATATTTATGTTTTTATCCTCATCCTTATTTTACAGATAAAAACGAATTGTTTGACCATTGGTCAAACAGTGTAGCACTGTTACACTGTAAAATGAAATGATAACTAATCTTCAGCAGCAGGGATGTCCAACCTAACTGAACTAATATCGCATTAAAAAGGACACGCCACATGACCTGCTGCTGTCCCTTCATTATTGGTCCAGGGATGTGACATGTCATAATATACAGTACAATCATGTGACCCTTGATAAACAGGGAAAATTCCACATTAGACCATAACAACACAGTCTTTTTAGATCATTTTTAGTGTGAAGGAACAGAGTGGAAGAGCGGGATAAACACATACAGACAAGCATTTACACCAATGCAAGCAGATGAAAAGAGCCATTTCTGGAAGTTCGATGAGCAGAAACATGACCTAAAACAACTATTTCTGACCTTCAGATGATGGAAATAATCTGTAGGCTATGGTCACAGGCTTGTGGTGGAGTGCAGAGAAACAGTACATGTCACTCCTTTGATCTGCTCCCATGCAAATCCAGAAAATTGTATCAGACACAGTACTTTTCCAGTTTTTCATCAATTTTAGTCATTTCTATCTTAAGCAAAGCAACATGACTTTCTTTCACTTTCTTTCACTTCTTTCAACAATGGTGTGTAGCTAATATAAACCTCACCTGAAGATGAAATACTGACTGCTCCGGTTATATTAAAGACATTGTTAAAAAATAGGTCACTGGCAAAACAAGAAAATCAATGTAATGCTATGCTTGCTTTGAGCTAATTCACCCCTTCAGGACCTAATGTGTCAAGGTGAGACCACTGCCACACTGTTAAAGCAACAATGTTACACATTAAGGTCACAGAATATCATTTTACAGTCATATTCCTACACAAGCCAGGTCTGAGCAAGATAAAGGTTTAGCAAATAACTTAGCATTTAGCAAATTAAAGTTAGGAACCGAGCTAAAAGTGCTTTATTGCAGCTGTGGCATGTGACACTGAGTCACAAGCCTGAACAGGTGAGAGGATGCTAGTCAACGATATGCTGTTAAAGTAAGTCCCAAAAAAAAACTCTTAAAAGTCAATAAATAACCTGTCATTAGAGGTGAGGCTTCTCTTTCAGGTCACTAACCTCCTCACAGACGACCGAGCGGCTCCTCATTCATCCCCCTTTTACTTTCATGAGGTCCAGAGCTAAAGTTACTCCAACTGCGCAGCAAACTGCGGCGCTACTGACTGCGCTCATCCCGGGTCCCATGTTAACTATCTGTCACTGCTTCCTGTTTCTCTGTGTGGAAGTACAAACATGCGCATTGATGATTTCAGGAAGCACGGTGCAGTATTATTTAATGCATATATTATTGTTATAGGTGTGGCGTAGTAATTCTATCTTGTACCACAATTAGGCTCTACAATGTCCTGCATAATTTGAGATCTAATGTTTCAAATATGTTTGAGATCAATGTGACATTTGACTAATTGGCTGTGGTCTGATAAAATTATAATGCTCCGATTGGATTTCCAGCTAAAGGAGATGCCTGTATGAGTATATACTGACTTTGGACTGTAATGTGTGTAAATGACATGTAGCCTAAGTTATTTATCATGATGGATTTAACCTTTGCTAATAGCTTGATCTCGTTGTAGTAACTCACACTGGCCTGAAGGTGGCGGTGGTTGACTGGATGGAGCATTACAGTCAGCCAGACAGCACTGCATGCATAATGAACACCTTGAGAGCTTTTGTTTTTTGCACATATTTCAGTTTATATCAAATAAATACAAATAAAATGAGACAAAAATGATAAATAATAGACAGGGGTTTTTGCTGGTATGCTTTGACAAGATGGGTTGTGCAGAAGATAATGTGGTTGGTTCCTGTTCAGAAACATTCACCTACATTCTTGTCTACAGGTTTACACCTTCTCATGGAATTATCTCACTATAATGACTCACAACAATAAGTCCTTCACAAGATTATGACATTTCTTGTTGACGTTTTTACAAATAGGTAAAACTATCACTTCATTGTTTTGTTTATTTTTTGTAATTCTCTTATCAGTTTTCATTGAGGGATTATTTGCATGGTATTACGTCTGTTGAATTTGGACTTTGTGCTAAGTTAAGTATCTTTTTATGTCATGTTACTATTGAGACTGATTGATAGCATTGGACATTGGGGAACTTTCTTGGAGATATATTGAACATCATGTGATTTTGTATCTTTAGTGGACTGTAAGCACACTTGCTTGGCTGTCTGATTAACTAAAGATACTTTAGCTCTAAAGAGTACTTTGTTTTCTGTCTCTTCAACAGATAAACGTGTAAACTGTTGCTAGATACAGAAGCAACTCTTCATCCCTTAATACAAAGGGTCAGAGATGATGCTTTTCCTAGTACAGACATTTAACTATTACTTCTAACTTAGTAACTATGCATACAATGTTGTTCTAAAATCAATTAATAAACTTCCTGTAGATTATTGCTTTACTGTGAGGTTCATTTCTTTAAAACAATGGAGCGAAAAGAGCAAATGAAAAGGACATGTAGAAATAGCATGTGCGAGAGATTGTCAATAAAAACTAAGACACAAGTGAAGGTGCATTCATTGGTTCTTTTCAAATAACTGGTACAAAAATACCTTTTCATTGTACAAAAGTCTGTACAGCAGCAAAGAGAACTTTCAAATCAACAGCAACAGAATATCATCTGAAAAGCTTTAACATTTGTATAAAATCAAAATAAACCAAGAAACTTCTTATTCAGTAGTTTGGCAATAAAAAAGGAGCCTCTCGGTGAGGTGGAAACATCTCTGAAACATGTAGACCAGCTGAAAGTATTCATTGAACCCGACTAGAGCAACTAAATGAATGTACAAGGAATGTGAGCTATAGAGAAAGTGAGAGGCTTTGATTCAGCTGCCTGTTTCTTTATGGTCCTCTGATAAAGAAGTGAAGAAGACAGTTTCAATGTGTCTACAGATTACATGAAAGAGTATTCCTTTTCTATTCTGATTTTCAGGGACTTGTCATAATGCAAAGGATTATCTGTATGTGTGTTATATTACTTGGAAAACATAACATTAGCAAAAAATTAACTCCTAAAACTAACAAAATGATGTACCCAAAGCTCTTTTCAAAAGGTGCTTTAAAAGAACACAAAGGCACACACCCCATGTCACACAAAAATAATCAGCATTATTTATAGGGAAATTAGTGATTAAACTATATAATGTTGTATTAATTCTCTCAACACTTTCCCTTTATGTCTGATGCAAATATCCACAGAACGAGGTTGTTCCCTTTGTAGTGCTCGTAAATCAGGCTGTGTAAATCTTGAGGCCTGAAGTCCTCAGTGACGGTGATCACTCCATAGAAGACACTTTTCTGTCATGAAAGGTAAATCAATGGCACAGCTAGCAGGATACAAGGTCCAAACAGACTGTTGGCATTGCCCAAATACCCATAAACAGAGTACAGAAGTCTCTCAATGGTGTAATGACAATAGACATCTCACCCTAAGTCATAAAAATAGATCCTTTTGTGCTGTGAAACAAAGAAGCTGTGCAATGTTTTCACTTGTGGCATTGTTTCCTCTGAGCTGAAACAAACTGACAAGATCCTGTGCTTCACCGTAAGCTTAATTTGGTCCCCTGTCGAGGGAATTTCAAGTTTGCATAGATAAGAGCTTTCAGAGTTTGGCCTTGCATAGAAGTGGTCCTCTCTACCATTCAATATGCAGCACTACAGGTTTCTGGAACAGTTTTAGACCATGTCACATTCAACCTCTCCCATTATGTCTTCTACTGAAGAAGGGCCTTCAGAGAGGAGAGGCTAAGCTGTTCAGTTCAGATTGTACATATGTCTGTCTTACACTGTGAACACCGCTCTATGTTTGTGACACTGCCAATGTGTTTAAGTGTGGTAAGGACTGTGGTAAACATTATCTTGCATGCTGCTCATTGCTCACAATAGTCTTCCACAGACTCTCTGCTGCCTCTCATGTTTGTTATTAGGAGGTAAACTGAAACCTGGCAGTATGGGAGCTATTCATCTTCCATCGTACCTTTCTGTACAGCAGTACAGAGTTTTATGGCTGTCAAATGATCAAAATGGCAAACTGAACTAATGTGAGAGAAGGGAATTTGGCTTTCAATACAAAGATACAAACAGAAACTGCAATCCCTTTACCAATGACAGAGCACATTTTTTTTGATATACTGTATATGAGTAATGTGTACGTGTGTGAACATATATCCCATTTCAACTGTATTTGGAATGTACAATTAAGAACACTTTTTGAATGAATTCAATTGAAAGCAAAACAAATGGCACCCTGCAATACAAATCACACTGAAACCAAAAACCACTTGAGGTCAAATTTGAGCAGCCATGATAAATTTCTTTTTGTAAATTCTGGCATAAAAGTACAATATGGCATTCAGAATTTTAGTGTTTCTGTAAAGACATAAAAATATCAAGAAAGGGCACTTCTAATTGCACACTAGCTTGCTATGTAACAGGTTCAGACATCATAAATGTGAATAAAATGTGTGAGAACTGTGAAACTTTCTGGCATTTATAAAATAATAACAATATAATATCAAGGTATTCCATTAACAGACTGGAACAAATATTTACATCTGTGTTTACAACATTATGATTGTCCATTAAGTAGTTAAGGAGCAGCTTCTGTGAAGTAAAAATGTCCCACATTACGACATTCTGCAGCATCAGTGTGACAGTACTGTTCAGAGGTGAGACAGAAAGTGCTCTGTGTGCTTTCCATTTATGATTGAGCAATAAAGGCTTACATTTGTTTCAGTAGTCTGGGCGAACGTAGTTTCAACAGTCTGACCAAATCACTGTCATGTGGCCCTTTTTTGTTTCAATGGCTTACTTCTCTGCATCTAACCATTAAACATCTATTTGTTTTAGGTTTGAGGTAGCAAAAAAAGACAAGCAGAGCAACCAAAAACGGAGATTGTTTGCTCTTGTCAGTCCCCCATCCAAGAAGATAATCTATCCAAATCCATCCCACCCATTTTTCTATCGACAGAACGTCTAATTTCTGCCACGTTTTTCCTCTTTTGTCACCCTTCCTCCTTCAGAAAGGCACAGACTGACAAATTTGTAAATCAGGTGCATTTGGTATAATCCCCACATGCTGTGGCTTGTGCTTAGTGAGGATAAACCAAACAATTCTTTACATGTTAATGCTCAGGCAACAGAGTGATTCCCTGTCTCCTTCAAGCTATCTCCATCTGTGAGGCTCAGCAGAGCCAACCTCTGGTTATTGGTCCTTTCTCCACTTGTGTCTGAACCACCAGGTAAATCCACCAAGCCCTGGTCCTTCTCTGAGTGGCTGGGCTCCATGTCAGGATAAATGACCAGGAAGCAGGCAGTAAGGAAGCCAAGAAAGGAGCCCCCAGAGGCCACTGCAGGAATGACACGCACACTGCCCACTGCTTCTACCACAGCTCCAAGGGCCGATGCAACCAAAATCTGGCTGATATAGACCTGCAAATGAAACAAAATACAATGATTCAACAGAATAGCATAGACTGTAATGACACTCGCTCGACATGCTTTCCATAGACTCTTGCTAGACCAGAAAGCCCCTGGATATGACAGCATTTAGGAAAAAAAGATCATTTTACTGTAGCACACAGACTAAACTGTGGTGTCTCTGGATCAGTTCAAATAAGACAAAGAATCACTGTGTCCTGCGTCAATGGATGACACTGAATAAATTTAAGTTCAGAGCTAATGAGGTGAAAAAAGGATGAATGCTCACCTGGCAGGATAAGATAGCGCAGTCAATGCCAAAACCTCTTCTAGTGTTTGCTGGACTGTGATGAATATACTGTGGAGAGGATTAGCAGAGGAAAGACAGTCACGTCAACCACATATCCCTTAGATTGTCAGTGTGTAGGTTTTCGTGAAACAAACAAATTTTATCGGCTTCAATTGCTGTAGTCTGCACACGCCTAAAGGCTGACTGAACTAGTTGAAATGAACACACAGTTTACATTTTTGTTTTGTCTGTATGTGTGTAAAGTACATACTCAGGTTTTAATGTGCATTGCCAGATAGGGACAGTGTGCATGATATGTGCGTGTCTGTGTACATACCTCTTTGATTTCATGGTACTGCCCAAGTAATGCATAAGGACAGTAGGAGATACTCATGGAGATGATGCCCATGCCGCTGATCATCACCATGGCAACATAAACATTAGGGAAGATCGCCATGACAGCAGTACCTAAGGTTAGAAGAAGACATTACATTTCCCTTTACTGTGCATAGCCATTAAGACAATATATAACTCCCAAATCCACTGTTCTTCACTATATTATTGTCAGCTGTTTATGTAACTGACCTATTGAGAATCCCAGAGTTCCAACAATGTAGACAACCTTAATGCTCAGATCAAAATTATCCAGGTACTTCTGAAGGATTGCTGAGTGGAGAGATGGAGAGAGGGATTATTGGAAACACTGGGTAAGCAGAATAGAAAAGGGCCAGAAAAAGGTTTAACTGCATCACTGGCCACTTGTTTTGTATGTAAATGCAGCAGTTCGGGGATTTGGATTCAAATATAAAGATGGAAAGTGTGTTTGTGTTTTACCAGAGCAGACAGCAGCAGTAGCAGCGTAGACCACCAGTCCCCAGCAGCCCATCTGTACTCCTTTGTTATAGTTTTGTAGCTCTGTGGAATTTGCTGGGGCCTGAAAAAAGCAGAATAATTTCAATCATATACTTGACTTCACAACTGTCAGTTAGCACAACTTAAACAATAAGACACAAGACAGCATGAGGGTGTGTGTGAGCATGTACCGTGGGATCTCCGTGGTAAATGACTTGTCCCATGAAATCGGTATAAAACACAGCTTCAGCTATAATGGAGAACCACGTGAGGAGGTGACACACACACAATCTCCACAGCTGCCTCGGCATCTATTGATGACAAAAAAGAGAAGGAATCAAGACAAGCAGAACATGAAGAAAAGATTCCACAACAAAAAGTTTGGTTTGTTAAATCTGCAGACACTTAAAATGTTGTTAATGTGATGCAATGCAATAGTAAAAGGGGGGGGGTCCTCAATATCAAAAGACATATCTAATTTACTTCACCTTCAACATGGATAACCAGAGCAGACGAACAGTTGTACCCTTGTCTGGTCCTCCCTCACAGCTGGAGACCTCGGATGACAGACTGCTAGCTGACAGGTGCAACTCCCGTCTGTCCGCATGCTGCTGGAGGTCACTCAGATCATTCAGACTGCGGGAGGTGGCGATTGGCCGGGGACTTGAAGGTGCTGTCCGTCGCAGTCGATAGCGCTGTGACCCCACTCGTCCATAGTAGGAGAAAGTAAAGGAGGGCTGGGGCGAAAATAAAGACCAACATCAGCTTTTTCACATTTGCAAAATGAACTATGGTGACTATGACTATTAGACAGAATGTAATTTTAAAAATGGTAAATGCAGTTGTACTTGTCTGTAGAAGATGTGTGGGTGTGGCCGGGATGAAACTGAGGTGTTGGAGGGGCGGTTTGCCAGCTTAGTGGAGGCCTGCTCTTTCATTGCATTGGAGTGGTCAGAAGAAGACAAGCCAGCATTGACACCATTGGCAGCCTTGACCTGCTGGGACAGGGGAGAAGAACAGACGTATAAAATGAAGACATGAGACTGCATATCTGAAACACAGTACAGTGGTCATTGTGGACATTTTTTGTCTTGTTCCTAAAGTTGGATGTTTGAGCTTCACTTTGCAGAATGATGTATGCACAGAGTTTGTTTTCACATCCATCTGCTGAAAGTGGAAGTGAAAGTTTCTCTGTTCTCATTTAAAATCTTATCTTAAAAAGGCCTATGAACTTGATTTGTGACATCACAAATAGTTTGGAAGTCAAGTTGGAGACATCTTGTGTCCAGCAGGAACACTTGCATATTAATAGATTCTGCAATTAGGTAGAAGGAGTAGATGCCTTTCTAAGGATTTTAATGAAGAAAAAATCAGATACACATTACTGTTGTATATATGTCTTAATCCATAAGATCTTACATATAAATATATATTAATCACAGATCAAATAACTTGTTGACATTGATACTTGATGGCATTTGCAACAAAAATAAAATCTGCAGCAGCTGATTTCACCTGGGTTTTCAGATGTGAGTCTGCTGAGCCAGAACTGAGCTGAAGGAGAGAAGTAGGACCATTTGTTGGACCCACCGTCCCATCAGTAAGGGCGGGTTGCCCACCAGAAGGAGACGAGGACCCAATAATGTGGTCCGATGGCTTGAAAACATTGTCCATCTCTCCCGGCATATCTGGTGGATAATGATGCACCTCTGGCAGGAAATGTTGTGAGTCTGGGTGGAGGTCAGGATCCAACTCGATTGTAGCATCTGGCATGGCTAAGATTGAATCGCTTTTACTCCTTACTCGCTCCACAGCAAGGAAGTCCATTTCCCCTTCCTCAGGATCCGATTCGTTGTCCTCTCGGGACAGGGAGGCAGAAGCATCCTCCTCTGCAATCACATCTAGAAAAGGTGGCGTGTGGCCAATGGGCCTGAAAGACAAGTGGCTGGTAGACTCCCCACTTCCTGTGGCTTTAAACTCATTGGATGGATTGAAAGGTTGCTCAGGGATACTGAGCATGTGCAGTGTGACAGAGATAATGAAGATGATGCCTGCAAACAGGAAGAGGACCTGTTCCTGTGATTTAAATGCTTGGCCCAGAGCTGTGCCAGTCCAGTCGAGACCACCAAGCATGTAGCCCACTGCTCCGCCGAGCCCTGAGGAGGCAGACACAATTATTGTACAGAGTCTAAGATAGAGGACAAGAACAAGCGTCTTCTGAAACTATACTGCCTATATGTATAAAAATCACATTCTGAGAAAAGTGCTGTTTTTTTTTAATGATGATATGTGTGTGATGTTTTCTTGAATAGCTGATATTTATACAGGTCTTTGTGGGCTAATGGTTTGTGTGTGTCTTACCAGCAGAGAAGGCATGAATATTCAGGGCCATATCTTGCTCCTCGGTGTCAGCAACATCAAGAAGGTAAGCTCTGATTGGTCCCTCAGAGGCATCAGCGCTGAAGTCCAGCACCACGACACCTAGTACAGTGAGGACGATGCCAATTGGCTGGTTGCTGGGACTATCACCAATGGAAAGGCCTGACAGAACAGCAGAAAATATATAGATGCAGTTAAACAGTAATTAGTTGAATTTGTAAGTGGTGATCTAATTTGAAACTGTTTACTCACCTATTAATGATCCATTTAAAAACAGCGCCACTCCCAGCAGCACACCTACACACAGGGCCAGAATGAATGGTCTTCTCCGGCCCCATGGCAGAGTACATCGGTCACTGGCTGAGCCTATCACAGGTGTGAAGAGGAGACCCAGGATAGGACTGAGGAACCAGGTTAAACTGTAATATTGCTCCGGAAGACCTAGAAAGAAACACATACACAAAATGTGCTGATATACTGTATAAATCACTAAAGAAGAAGACTGATACCATGAGCTTCAATGTTCTTTGTAATAAATAATTTACTAGGCTCTGTTTTGTCCTGTCATCTTGGTAAAAACTCATCATTAAGCCGACCTATTCATACACTTGCCATGTAGGAACCTGCCAGAATAACTAAAATTGTGGAAGTCAGGGCAGAGAAGCTTTTTCCATTGTTTTTTTACACAAAAAAAGGTGAAAGTTTTCCCATGTTCCGTTGTTTATGAAAGCATAGCACATGACAGCTCTTGCATACCAATGCATAGCTGAAGAACCCCAAGCTTCCTTTACGAACAGCTTTAAGGGTGGCTGGAACATTTCAGATAATGAGGTGGCATGTTACAACAACGCATACAGAAATATGCAGCAACAAGCCAGGGAAGTGGTGAAATCACCTCAAGTTGACTCTGTATGTAGTAAAATCAGGAAACGCTACACCAATTTGCCCCCCTAAAAACTGTGGGAGATGATGCACTACCAGCTGTCAGTTAAAATAAAAAACAACGGTCTCTGTTAGATGACACTATCCTGATTTTCCACTCCATATAAAGAAGTGGATTTTTAGCTTCAATGTAAAAATCTGACGGATTCCAACACAGTCAGCTGGCTGGGTGAACTGGCTGGTTCTCACGGGAACAACATGTTATCCACATTGCCTTTCCCTGCTCAGGCCTTTTCTCCCTTAAGTCAACAAAACAGAATATGACTTCCTCGCAGTAGGAAAAATATCTTTCTTTCTGTCTGTCTCTCTTACTTACTCTTCTGTCAGTGGGCCTAAAGACTTGAAGGTACTCGGTGGTGTTTTTGACCTCTAGCAGCACTATGAAGCAGTTTTAGGGGTAGGTCTCAGTTTTATTTATCTCATGCATGTGGACAAGGATTTGCATGTAAAGAAGGTAATGTGATACACATTCCTGCAAATGGATTCCCCTTAATCCACTGATTGACAGGTGGCAGTAATAGGTAAATATATGCAGCAAAGGCAGGAAAGAAGACAGCTAGATTGTAAACAATGATGCAAACAACGCAGGTTTCAAACAGCCTTGTTCTGCATTAGAAAAGTACAGAGTAAAAAAAACAAGAGCTAATAGAACAAAAGGGCAAAAAAACACAGAATTTGTAAAAAAAGAAAAAGTTTGTATAATTGTTTAACTCATCTAATTGGTTGGGAACCACTGTTGTACTGGTATATAATTCTTGATAAACTATTGGTTCTTCAAGCAGGAATTGGTAAAACAAGGAGTATTTCAAGGGTTTTATGGTTGTTCATAATAAAACGAGAATTAGTTATTACAAAAGAAAAGCATGTCTTCTTTTCTAAACAAAAAATAACAACAACTCTCTGGTCCTGTGCAGCTTTGACAAAGTAATATGTTTCAACTGATCTATGTTCATGTTTAACAGTGTATGCACTCACTGCCATAAAAGTGTCCACCTAATAAGAAACCTACAGGAAATAGAAAAATTAACAAGGACATGTCCCTCTGACAGAGCTTAACAGTCCAGGAGAGATTGCAGTAATAAATGTATGGTTAAGCTTGACGGGCTCTGGGAAATTCAACAAACTACGGAGAGATAGATTTATTTTGGCAATAATAAAGTACATGACATACAAGTAAATTGTTCTTTATGTGTGTTTTTATAGGGTTTACTTTGCTATAGTAAACACAGAGCTAATGTTCAATCTAGCAGTGTTTCATCCAGAGTCAACATGTTAATGTTTCTGAAGGTGGTGTTGTCACAAACTGTCACAACACTGAATGTAAAGAGCAAAGAAGAAACAGTGTATGGAGTGTAAAGTGATCCATTTAATTAATTAATCTACCTCGGACAATCCTATGCCCCCCACACCATACAGCAGATAATTTACCAGAACCTTTTCACTCTGAAGGCCTGGCCTTGGACTCTGGGCTACCAAAGACGACAATAACTACTTTTACATAAAGATGCACCATAACTGATCAACTAAACTACAAATTTAACTGACTCTATGCATTTTCCACAGAGATTACTGGTATGATGAAGCAAAACTGGATGCTTGCTTAGAAAATGCTTTCACAAACATCCTGAATGGGGTTTGGCTGAAAGTTTACATAATCTTTCTTACAATATTGTGAATAGGGAGGAAAACAGAAAGACTGAAATGTGCTGTGTTAGACATTCTTGTCATACCTAGCCAGGGGAGAATGCCTTTGTTTCATTTCTGCTATGGTGGCAAAGCTGACATCTAACTGCATAGCCCCCGGTTGGCTACTGTTGGGCACACAGGTAACACGAGACAGTGGTGCAGCCTGGGTAATCAATAGTTCAAGCCTGGCTAAAGCAGTCCAATTTCACAACACAGCTGGAATTTGGACTAAATGGACAACTATTTTTGGATAGCGGTGGTGGGCCTCAACACAAACCAAGCCCACCTACTCTCATATATACAGTAGAACATAAACAAATAAGATGCTCATGAGCTGAATCTGGGCAAACAATCAGTGTGGGTCATCATTTTACTCAGGGGAACACTGCCACAAATATAACCTGACAGGATAAACAGAATGCACTAGACATTACAGCTAGTGTATACAGCTTTGGGACATAGTATGGCGATATAGATTGACCATACCCACTGTGTACCAGGAGTGGGAGGGCTTTAAAGTGTAAAGTGCTCCCAGTGTTGATGAATTTTCATGTTTAGATATGACAGAGTGACATCAGTAGAACATTTAGATAAGGAGTGTGTCTCTCTGTTTGACTGTGTTGTGTCTCCTTACCTATCTGCAGCAGCACTGGCGTCACAAGGGCCGTTTCCATGGCGTAGCAGAACTCACGTCCAAACATCACTGCTCCGTGCATTACCCAGCGGTGCAGAGGGATCGGCACACCTCTGCCCACCTCTTCCACCTCCTTCTCACTATCACTCTCTTCTGCTTCCTCCTTGGGTTTCCTCTTCTCCGGAAGGCCAGAAGCCTCCCTCTCCCCTGCTTCTCTGCCCATTACAGTCTGGTTTGACTTCAGAGGAGCCATTTATGTTGCTGGATGGTCGATATATATCAGTCTATATCAATACACTACACTCCCTACTATTTTCTTATATATGTAAGCAGAACTATACTTGTTATTGTCTACTAATAGAACAAGTAATGTCTGTGGTTTTCATCTTGATCACTCACTGTGTAAGGAGAAGCAGAAGATATCCAGAAAGATTAATCAGTGAGCATCTCTGGTCAGCACTTTCTGGGGTCAAAGCCAAAGAATTGCAAATAATTGAGGAGGCAGGAATCTTCATTATAATGATATTAATGTGTCCAGAAAATTATGTGGTAGAAATATATTCCATACATTTGATCATGTTGCCATCATGCTGATATGTGACCAGATAGCACAACTCAGTAGCAGAGTTGTAGTTTTCCTCGTTGTGGTTTGCACAAATTTTTAAAATTCAGGAAGAGCAGAGAAGTCCTGCGCAGCTCCAGTGGTATGCAGAGGGGAGGAGCAGGGGAGAGCAGAAGAAGTGGAAGAAGGAGGGGAGTGGTGAAATGTGTGTTATGGGTTCCAGTAGCTGTGTTTGCGGTAAGCTGTGAGAAGGGTTAGAACAAGGTTTGTAAATGTGTTTTCTGTGGCTGGTCAGTGTGTGTTGGAGGTTCTGTGCATGCAGTATTTTGATTGTGAAAGACAGAAGCATGGGTCAGCAGAGGTCTGTGCGTGTGCTTGTAAGTGCGCTTCCTTGCAAGTCGAGGTCAAAGGACGTGCGAACTCCTTGGCAAAGACACAGTGAGTCACACAGCAACCTGCAGAAAAACAGACTGTAGTTACACAGTGAGCTAAAGCTATACAATAGTGCACGTGGTAGCACTGCCTTCGTGTTAACATTGTCTTTACTTATTTTCTCAGTTTGCATTCATGCTCTACAGATACTGACCGATAACACTAATAAAGTTAATTTTTTAATATTGCTTTTTTAGTAAATATGAGAACAGGGCCAAATACTAGAAGGCCGCGCTCATGTAAAAACGTTTCAGGACAGCTGGGTCCCATGATCGGAAACAAAAAAATTATCTTGGCTTATCAAAACGGCTGCCCTGACAATAAGTTTATAGATGTAATAGACATCATAAGACAGAATAAAGGAACAAAGGCTTAAGCAAGTTTGCCACACCTCAACTATCTGAGATTACTCAGGGTGGGAAATTAGCACCGGCCAAATGTTGGTGACATAAATATAGAGTGACAAAATAATAATTTACTTTTGTACATTTGTGGCTTGTAGATGTTCATATTTTCCATATTAAAATGTCCCAGCTTTCATAAAGATTGTATTTTCTCAAACTCTGTAACATCACCTGTAACCATAACCTTTAAACCACAAAACTAGCAGGCTATAAAAGACATCAGAGGCATGAACAAAAGCCACATTAAGAAGTCAGCCATTATTACAACACCATGGCTATTGCATAATAGAGCAGGGATACAGTGGAGCCTCGTTTCTCTCTTGTCTTTACTTACTTTACTCGTCACTTTTGTTTCTATTTTCTGAGGTAAACAAAGGGCAGGTATACCAAATATTAATAATAAGTCAGGTTACGTTTAAGTTAACGTTTTAAACTAAATAAACGGAGCTTCAAAACACATTTCCCACTGATGCAATCTCCTCCTGTGATGAGTAACCTGTTACTGTGTGTAATAACCATCCGACACGAGGTTTTAACCTCCCCTGAGCGGGAGTGAAAATGAGTTTCTCTCACAGGAATAGGGTGTGTGTGTGTGTGTGTCTGAGGGGGCTGGTTGGACCAGTTAGGACAAGCTTTACCCGTGGGCAACTCCGCTAACGGTATCGCTGACTTACCTGAGCTACCTACCGACCTGTTCTACATAATAACATAATAACGAGTCACTTAATAACGGCCATTTATAACGCGTGAGGATGGTGCGCACCTGACTCTGGACACATCCATGTTAACTTCTCACTGACTGAGGTTTGACTCGTGGCTAACGTTACCTTAGCGAGCTCGGTTGGCTAATAAATCTGGCAGCTAACAGTTAGCAAGTTACGTTAAGACAGAGAGACGCACTGATATTGAAGACAGAAAAAGATGTGACATACCTGAGCTCTCACTCCGCTGTGGTATAGTAAAAGCAGTTCCGCATTACGTGAAGTTGTCGGTAAAGCTGAGGGCAAAACTCTCGGTTTGGATTAGCAAGCTGGCTAACCTTTGCCAGCTAACTAAGTGACCATCTGGTTTACTACACTCATCAATCTCATTGGTTTCCACAGTAACAAAGCGGGGCGTGGTCATAAGTGAACGCAAATGACGTCACCGAGCTACTCACCTACGGAGCGCGTGGAATAATGCAGTAATAATGGTTTACTTTTAGTGTTATGTTTATACCACCAATAGAATAAAAATAATGATAATTATAATAATGTATCAACAATAGTAAATCAAAAAGAGGCATTATATTTTAAATTGCATTCAAATATTTAAGTTATCTCTGTTAGGGTTAGTTAGTTTTCTTTCTAAACGTCATTCCTCAAAGAATAAATGTAAAGACTTTTAGGATTTTACATTTGAAATGTTATACACATATTTGATTCACTAGAACTTGATCCCATCAACATGAAACAAGGAAAATAACTACCCAAAAACAGTAAAAGCACCAGATCAATGCATAACCAAAGCATTTGACTCACTTGAACACCACTTTACCCCCCCCCAATATCTCCACTATATATTTAATGTGACATTTCTTCCTGCACATTTCTGATGATTGTTGATGAAACAGAAATGGCATTGTGTTTACTTTGCAGCACATAATATGAAACATTGTTATAAAACAAAACATTCACATTGTAGCTGCTTTCAGTCATCCAAGCAGTTTTCATTAGAGTGATTGTATTTTCTTTGGTCTCTTGCTTTAATGGTCAGTGAAAGGGAGTGCAATGTTGCCCTCTGCTGCACAAAAATAGTTATCATTTCCAAATATCTTCTTGCAGTGGATCTTCTGACGTGGTCACCTTGTAATCCAACCAAAAAAAAAAAAACATATCACCACCCTTCCATTTGAGAAACAGACACAGATGTGGTCTGTTTTATATTATGATGGCCATCCATATCTTCTTTTATTAATACCAGCACTTCTGGCCTGGACATTTCTAAGATTTTTCGCATAACAGAAATCACAGCTTTCATTGCTCCTTTTGCAGTTGCAGTTGTGCTCAACTAGAGGATTTGTTTAGGGATTACACCCATTATGAAACTGTGCTGCCACAATTTAGACAATCTCTGTTATGTTACCAAAAATGAAGACTGTACTCATCAACTTTATTGCAGGTGTTGCTTTCTTTCAGTTTTAAAAATTGAATAGGGAAGACACGCCAAATATTCCTCGCAATGTTCACTTTATTGTAAATGTAAAATATATCAGATTGGAATGATGTAGATAAGATTACATCAAGTATCAATGTTCAAAGTCTTTTTTAATGAGACTTGGCATTTTGTCCCTTTTATAATTCAAGTTATACAGTAAAACACATAAATCTGCTTTGTATTCTTTTGTATTGTTTGAATCTGGCAGCAAACTGGTGTAGCAGTCAGACAGATTGTCTCACAGCTCCAAAGTCATGGGAAGGTTTCTTGGCATGATAATGATGTTTAGTTGCAGACTAAATTTGTTTCTTGTCAACGCTGTAATTGATTTAAGTAGTCAATAAAAGTTTTTAGTGTTGCTGTTGGGTGGTGGCTGTTGATCCTGAGCTCTTAGCACTGTGCCATAATACACTGACACTGTTATCGCCGGTCAGCCAAGTCCAAAAATATCAGCCACCTTTCCCCTAGGCGACTGTGGCATCTCAGTAACATTTAGTTCTTTTCACCCTGTGTGTAAAGGGATTTAAAGTGTGTGGTTCTTCCCCTGATTGCCTCTCTGCAGTGAAGTGGGAATTTTGGTCATCATGATCACATTATTAGAGATGGCGTTGGGCGTCCCTCCTGAGGCCTTGGAGCTGTGCTGCATGCTGATGATGTCACCACTACTCTGCTCCGGCTCTGCACGACGGAATATATTTCTCACTGTGGCCTGAGGGAGAAAGGGGCAGTAAATTATTCAGTGAATCAATGAGTAAATAAGTGACAAAAACGGGGATGATGGATGGACAAATTATGGCTGCGGGGGAAGAATGGGTAGATGGACAGGTGGCAGAGAGCAAGGATGATGGGATGGATGGGGTGAAGAAAGGTGAGGAAGAAAGTGAGAAAAAGAGTCTTACCTGGAAATTATTTGTAACAAAGCAGTAAACGACAGGATCCATACAGCTATTCAAACTGCTGAGAGTGACAGTCAAGTGGTAGACTATCACATGATGAGGCATATCGGGGTAGAAGTACACCACCACCTATAACACAAAACAGCACAGCCATAAGATCATACACAATGTTGTTAAATTTAACCAAAAATTGTATATATATTTTGCATTATCATATGTTAATCTTGATTTTCAGCTTTTTGTATTGTCACAGACTGTGGATTGAGTATACAATGAGTTATGAGCAGCTCAACCAAAGAAAGATTTTTCTGATTTCTGGAAAAAATAAACATAATTTGTTGTAACACGAGTCTTTCTCAATCCTTTAATCATGTTGTGATGCCTTAGGATTATCTTGGAACTGCTTGAGGGTTTAAGGGCTACAAAAACATGATGATGATATTTTATTTAAACAATGTTTCTAACCTGTTGCTCACTCACCTGTCTGATGTGGAAGGGTGTGAAGCAGACAGTGAAGATGATCAGCACTGTGCTCAGCAGCTGGACAGCTCTCCTCCTCCTCTCCCTGAGGAAATACAGTCAGAACCACCACATCCCATCAGCTGTAAGCCTCCAATGCTTTTAATGCTGCAAATGTGAGTTATTTCTGTCTCTTGTATGGTGATGTTCTTGTATCACAAGCTTGGATACTTAAAATACTGTCATTTTGAAGCATTAAGCTTTCTATATCTAACACAGGCAAATAACAGACCAGAAATGTCCTGATATATGATGATATTCTTTAATTCCTTACTGATGTCTATGTGTTACCTGCTCTGCTGCATCAGACGGCGATCTGCTAGTGCCCACATGATCCGCAGTGTGAAGACCACAATGATGATGAGGGGTAGAAAGAACTCAGTGATGGTGAGAAAAAGGAGCTTTGAGAGGCAGCAGCCCGGGTGCTGGAAAGCAGTAGAAAGGAAGGAGTAGGTGACCACGATTGCAAACAGCCAGACAGAGACACACACACATTTGGCCACACTGGAGTGCCTCCACCGACGGGAAGCTTCAACCTACAAGGACAGAATAAGATTTTCAGTTCAAGTTCCTTTTGGTATTGAAGTCTGAATGAGCAGGTATCCAGGTATGTTGTGAAGGGACAGTTTAGGCTTCAGAAAACGTAACTTAGACCGATTATCTGTTACCAAACCACAGACAAAACTCACCTGCACAATTGCAAGGTAACGGTCGACACATATGCAGGTCAGAAACAAGATGCTGCAGTACATGTTGACAAAGTAGCTGAAGATGTGCAGGTAGGAGCAGGTGAGGCAAGCTCCTCCGCTGTAGTAGAGCAGGATGCGAGTCGGCAGAGAGAGGTTCACCAAGAGGTCGGTAACTGCCAAATTGATGGTGTAGATGACTGAGGTCGTCTTTTGCTTTGTGCGGAAACAGAAGACATAAAGTGCAACTATGTTGAGCACCATGCCTACCTGTGGGAGAGGAGAGTAGAATTAGGGAGTTCATACAGACTGAGTTTTGAAACTCATGTAAGAAAAAGTTCCTACCAAGAATATGAGAGAGTTTGTGACCATCAGTGCAATCCAGAGTCCGTAAAAGTCATTGTAGAGCCCCTCGTCTAAATGAGCCAGTCTTTGAAGATATCCTTCCATGCCACTTCTGTTATTGGGACTAGTTACTACAGGCATGGTGGAAAATGAAGTATTGATAAAAAGCCAGGATTCAGTGCTGTTGAAGTTCATCATAATGGTGGTGATGATGATGATGATGATGATGATGATGATGATGATGATGATGATGATGATGATGATGCACGTAGTTGATGATGGTGAGGATGATGATGATGATGGAGTTAGAGTTGATCCAGAAACTGCCAGATAAAACGACACAATGTTGTAATACAGCAAACATTTAAACATTTTAGTGTGGGTGCAAACTGCAAGATACAGTATTGAAGGCTGCTACAATGCCCATCTGTTCATTTCTGTTTTTTAGCGGTTCAGAGGCTGCAGGCTATCCCAGCATGCATTATGCGACAGGGAGACACCCTGAACACACATTCCCACACACATCCACACCATTCAATAAAAAACTGTGGGAAATAATGTAAAACCACCATTCAGTTAATGATTGCTTTTTTGATAACAACATCATTGCTGCTAGAGGCTTTGTTGCTGTAAAATCTACCTAGAATTTAAACGGACAATTTTAAGCACAAGTTTTTAAATCATTTTTATTACTCATATTTCTTACTTTTAGGAACAAACATCCCAACCCTCTGCCCTGTCTCTAACCTCACTGTGGATGTTGCTGTTGGCATGGCCACACTGACAAAACCACTTCAAACCAATATCTGATTTATTTAGACAGTTTATTTTATAATAGAAGTATATTTATTTATGTCTACAGCAATCCACTGTGAAGGGATATGAGTATATTTATTTCAGGCTGGGTTTTTTTATGAAGCCACACTTACTGGCACAGAGCTTATCCTTTTCGGAAAACACAGAAGTAACACATCTACCCCTTTCTGGCCAAGATGTGACCTTTTCATGGCAGTCATAACAGGGGGGAAAAAATCCTGTGTGGTTTCACCCCATTTAAATCACTCACAGAAGATCAGATCTGAACCACAAAGAGTAATTTTGTGCCTGCATAAACCATCCTGATCTGTATGGCCCGTTTGTGTTTATTTACCTCAAAGAAAAATGCTGAATTCTTCTCATAATTGGGACAAACAGAATATATTTGTGTAAACTGGATACATTCTGCATGTGTGTATGTGTGGACAGGATAATAGATCTTTACCGGATATTTACAGTTTCAAGTTTTGGGTCATTTCATTTGATGAATCGCTATATAAGTTGACATTCATTGGGTGCAGTAGGCTACTGAAACCTTTACAACCTCAGTAGCACATTTATTGGATAAATAACAAATCAGATTGCGTTATTAAAATACAGGAGGGTCAAACATTCAGAGATTCCACAAAACAGGAAAAAAGACACCACATGAAACATCCACTGATTTGGTGATGAAGTGGATAAAAGTGTGATATAAGCTACAGTATGTACAATGAGTACTAACAGCTTAAGGATATTTGTTACATATCACATTTTCCCAGTGCACAAGCATCCAAAATCCTGCTGTTATGATGTGAAATTAGACACTTGAGTTAACCATGTGACCCTTTCCATATGGTGTTTTCAGCTGTAAGGAGGAAAATATGCAAATATGATCTAGACTCTACCAGGTGTGAATTTATAGACAGCAGAGGGCAGTCATTGACTGTGCCTCATACAGTATCTCTATGGAATATAATGTAATGATAGATAGATAGATAGATAGATAGATAGATAGATAGATAGATAGATAGATAGATAGATAGATAGATAGATAGATAGATAGATAGATAGATAGATAGATAGATAGATAAACTGCTCTACTGATCGTTTTCATTTTAAATTTACTGAGCTGGTCTGAGGGCTCACATTGGTAAGCGACAGTAGAGTCAAACTCAAGAGGAATCTACCGGCGTTAGAAAAAACTGCGAAGTCACATGTGGTTACACATCCATGCAGGCTCCCAGTGAGTGTGACCCCAGAATTGGCTGTATGCCGGCATGCTACTGTATCCCTCCATGACAAATGTAGTTTAATTTCTCCTGTGAGTCCCAGACAGGTTTAAGAAGTACAACATATTGTGTTGTGTATGCTTGTGGCTCACAACTAATCTCTCACAGCAAAATAATCATCCAGCTGATGAAAAGGGCTAATGAGAATAGCATGCTCAGCTGAGGGTGAGGCATGAATAATGTGATTCATCTGCATTAACAAGACCAGTACAGCCATAGAACATTAAGACCACTGAAGGAAATAAATGGATGTTTTCACAGTAACATCCCCTGATATTGTTCAGCTTGCTGGAGCCAGTTCATCATCATTAACAGCACTAACGAGTGTTATGAGCACTGCTCTGGGGAAATTGTGTGTTAAACCACTTACATCAGACAGTTAAGAAACAAATGACAATGACAAGTAATATTCCAGTGGTTTTCAATTATGTATTATCAAAGCTGGACAGATGAATGTTGAACGAGTAAATTCTGACTTTACTATCCAAAGCAGATTGTTGTGACCCGCCGACTTTTCCTCTGGAAAAAGGATTTGATCGATTATCATGAAATTTTGTACAGACATTCATGCCTGCCTTTGGTGATCACTTAAAGACGAATTTAACACCAGGTTGAAAGTTTCAAGCCTGATTCACAACAAAGTGCACATTTAACCACACCCAAAAGTGATGTCATTGTGCATGGAGTTGACCTGTACTTCACTGCAAGATAAAAAGTTAAACCACTGGAGGTGCATAATCAACACAGACCAAATTTGTGCAAAGTGAAACACATTCCTTCAGCCTCAGATACATTTTGTGTTCAGTGCTAATTAGCAAATGTAAGCATGCTAACATACTAAAATGTGTTAGCCTTTAGCTCAAAGCACACAACATCCCATAACTGCTAGTATGGCTGTGAAAATTTTGAACCTACAGTGGGTAACCATTCCTTGTAACTAGGGTTAGGGTCTACAGTGTTAAGTTGATAATCTGATTTAAACAATGGCAAGCAAAATCAAGTCTGAGATTATATAATCCAAATACAGTGACCAAATAAAATATAATAATAATAATGATAATATATAATAACTGTTGGGATTGAGCATGTTTATAACAGTATAAAAAACCTTTGATGTATTTCTTTCTGTTCATATACTGTGTCGGTCACGTTCATCTTTTCAAGTAACAAATTTCAGCAAAACACCAACATAATTGGACTTGTCCTAAACTGTCCACGGAGGAACAACACAGATCGTATACTGGAATACAAAGTTTGTGTAGCCTCTGATTTGAGTCTACACAGATCATATGATATCAATCTAATGCGTCACTGTTGCTCTCCTATTGTTGCTCTTCCTCCACCAACATCAAACACTGTGGTGATGCAATGACTGTAAAGTGATACTGAGAGGAGGGCAAAGGGCCCAGAGGCAGATCACAAATAACACTGTCCAAATAAATTCCAGCAGCGTGGGAGTCCCTTTTGGGTGGTAAAGTGTGTGTGTGTGTGTGTGTGTGTGTGTGTGCATTCAGATTGTGTGAAAGAGAGAAATATATAGAAAGGCGGAGAGACAGGATGGGATAGTGGAATTCAGATCTCACGCTGTCCTGCATCAAATTATAGCTTCACAGAAAGCCCCTCGAGGCAAACGGAACATTTTGTTGCTGCTGTAACTCTAATTTTAGTGATAGTACTTGCAAAAAAGTTCACAGAGGCCCTTTCCATGTACTCCAATTGTGTAACATGTTGCAGACATATTCTGGGATGGAGCATGACCTGAAATTCTTTAAACACTTCAGTTGATGATGGTAAATGGTAAATGGACCTGTACTTGTATAGCGCCTTTCTAGTCTTCCGACCACTCAAAGCGCTTTTACACTACTTGCCACATTCACCCTTTCACACACATTCACTCAGTGATGGCAAAGTCCATCGAATGATGATAACTGTATCAATGTATGGAACACTCTGGAGGAGTTTGCTTGCTTATTCAGTCTATTTAATGTAATGATTATACACTTCTAATAGCATATTTGAATGAATTTACAAAGGACTAATCATGCCCCTGTGTTAGGGATTTTAATTAAGCCTGTACTGTTTTGAGTAGTCTGGTTACCATAATGAAACCACTAGATTTATTTTCCCTCTCTTTTAAAAGCAATATAATGTATAGACAAAGTTTATCCACTATTGATGACAACTTACCTCTAGAGAAAAAGTAGAGACAAGCAAAACCAGTAGACTATCTCTGACCGAGTAAAATCTGTCTCTGCTGAAGTTGGAGTGTCATCTCATGTCCATCCTAATCCGATGACTCTTGGTCAGTGTCCAACCAGGTGATGCTGGATCTTTTCCAAGTAAGGATGCTTCAACTTTCAATGACCTGTTCACCCTTGTATCATCTCTGACATCTACTCACGTCAGTCGCTTTTCTGTCTGGAGCGGTTCAGTATTTCAGTGAGAATTTCATTTCTCTTGTCAGTGTGTCAGTTGGGTTTCTCCTTTCAGATGCTCGAGTCATGCCAGTTGGCTGTAGTAATCAACACACCTCTTCAGATCTGTACATAAAGAGGCATCCCTGTCATTTCTGTCACTTTGTCAGCCTGTCTGCTGATACTCAGTGTCTTGTTTTCTCCATAAATTTCTCAAACATCCTCAGATCTTTCTGCTTGCTTCTATTGTTGTGTGTCTCACTCCTTTCAATGTGCCTTTCTTCTCTCCTTCTTTTTGTCCCCTTGTTAGCATCATTTTGAGTCTCTCTCTCTCTCTCTCTCTCTCTCTCTCTCTCTCTCTCTCTCTCTCTCCTTTCAATGACTCTGTCTTTCTGCTTCCCTCCCTCTCACTCTAAATCTTCCCTCAGTTTGGTCTTCAGACAGGAAGTCTTAGTATGTGTTTACATTATGCTGGGACATGCACATGCATGCCCATGTACAGCATGAACACACACTAATGTTAGAGCACACATGCACATACCACACAACACCACAAGCACAACCTTTTCCAAACCATTAAATATTGTTATGTATACTGCTTGGACTAAAATGATTACTGTAAAACACAAATGATGGAGGTGCTGCATGTTCCCTCACATAAAACAAAGACAAGTCTTTGTTACAGTGTAACAGTTCTTTAACATAAAATTATCTTATTGGTGTTTCAACTCAGAAATGTAATATAATATTCATAGGTATATTTTTCATAAATTTTTCGCAAGTTTCATGGCCACAGTAGTTTCTCTTACACCCTTGGAAGGGGAGGGTGAGGCGAGTTGGTGGCAGTCTGCAGTTACACTGCTAGGTGTCACTATGGCCCCACTTTAACAGGAACAAAAGGTTAAATTACATGCTTTCTAATAGGCTCCAGATCAGCTCCTGCTCATAGATCTGGAGTTATAGTATGTAACCATTGTGAAACACTACTGAATAGTAGGAAATGAAAAATTATGATAGATAAGAAAGATAAGAATAAAAAATAAAAAAGATAAGAAGGATAATAAAGACAAGAAAATCTAACTTTATTTTGATGTTAATGGAAATTGAGTTATAGCCATTTAAAACCACCATCACCAGTATATTGTATGTATTTCAGAGAATTTGTACCCTCAAAACATTGACATTTGTTGTAAGTAATAAAAACAAAACACTTCAGAGATGGCTTTGAGTAAGGACTCTAAAAGTGAATGAAGACACTGATCTTTTAATCAGTGTTCATGCTTCTATAAATCTCTTCCATATTGATTTTTTTTTTTAAATCTAGTAAATTAGGTGTCTTCAGCGAGGACGGTTTTGGTCAACCCCAGTCCGTATCTTGTGATAAATGTGAATATGAAAGAAGAGTGATATTTGGGAAGTGAAAGAGGAAGATTCAAACACCTCATGTTTCTACAAACACGATCAGAAACTAGCTGTAAAGAAGTTTTGTGATCAAATACAATGACACTGTCCTGTCAAGTACCTTCACAGTGATGTATTAAAAATAAACTCAAAACACAAAATCCTGAGCCTGCACAGACCTTTTCATCTCACTCTGCTGAGCTTGAGCTACAAAACAAATCAGGCTTAACACGTGATTAGATGTTCTTTTCATCCTGACACTTGTTTTTAATAAAAGTGAAAAAATAGAGACAGAAAAGTTCAACTTAATAGGGGTAATCGCTTCTCTACAGATGATGAAACTTGTTTCAGCCAACTGCTTTGAACCTCCACTGGCTGTACTGGACTGCAAGATTAGGATATTGAAAATATAATATAATTGATATTGTGTTGGAGACACATTATTTGACAGAAGCACAGAAAACCTCAATATTTAATATATTCAAAAAATAAATAAAAAAAAAAGAATTATGCCCAGGAAGTTTTATTTTCAGATACATTACATCAAACCAAGCTGATGTCCCATTTATTTCCTGCTGCCAGAAAATGAGGAATAAATGTTGATAAGCAAAACATCAGGTTTGTATCAAGTATCATCTTGTAAATCAAATTTAAATGCTAATTGCTACTCATATGTCTCCTTTAAAGTACTATTTGGGACATGATGTGTAATTGTTTTGTGTATCACCTTAGTATATAGATCTAAATACACACACGCCAATGTAAGGCTCAGTCCGTCTCTTTATGACATGTCCCTGGACCAATGCTCCATCCATCTTGCAGAATGAGACAGGTTTGTGTCTCCTGGTTTCCTGTCTAGAGGATCATCATCATTCACAGCTTGTCAGCGTTCCTTGGAAAGATCCGGAATAACGGATGTCAGGAGAAGAGCCATGGATCAACCTGTTACTGAGGACATGCACAAAGAGAAGGTGCAGGATGGGGACAGAAAGGAAAGAGGAGGGGGTGGGTAGGGAGAAAAAAGGAAAGATAGGAAGACAGAGTGAGTACAGTATGTCTGTATATAGGTGTACAATGGATAGATGGATCATTATATGACATATGTTTGTATGTATAAATATAAAAAGGTGCACAAACGTGTGACCAGTCCAACCAGGGGAACTGGAAAGCTTTGTTTATGTCAGGAACCGTCTGAATATTGATGATAGACGAGAGATGACGAGGTTTCTCCCCTCGTCCTCTCATGGTTTATTTGTCAGGAATTAGAGGGAGGGATGGATGGAGGATTATGGCTGTCCTGCAGAAAAAAGCTCGCTTTTTGGCAGTGGTGGCAGCACGAATGGAGTTATGGAGGACAGATGTGCGGAATCGATTGCTTGTAATTGTTGTAAGCAATTGCACATATATCACTCTTGTTGAGATGCAAGTAGAAAGGTGTGAAAGGAAACACAATACATTTTTAAACCATTACCCACCACTTCAGAGTATTTACGTTCAATCAGTCAATTTGTATAGCACTTTTCATACAAGTGAAACACACACACACACACACACACACACACTGAGAAAAGTAGAACACTAAAACAAATAAAAACAGGAACTGAAGAAACCCATCTCATCAAGGTGCAGTGAGCAGAATTAGAAAGAGATGAAGAATAAGGATAAGAAAATGATATACCAAATAAAACTGAGCCAGATGTTCAACAGAGTGAGACTTTAATGACCCCTGAGGAAATTACTTTGTATTATTTTTTTACACTGTGATGCTGAGACTGCTATGTCTAAGTTTTTTTTTTTTTTTTTGCCACTCACAAAATAAATCACTTCATTATCACACAATATGTCAGGATTTTCCCAAAACTTTGACAATAAACAGACATGAGCTTGTTGCCAGTGGGTCCATACATGAACTCTAACATGCTTTAAGATGCGTCCCAGACACCCATTGCTGAAATAATAGATCATCTCCTTTTTCGGAATGACTTGATTTGAATTCTTGGCATTAAAAAAAATAAGATTGATGGAGAAAATAAGGTAGTGCGTTTTTTACCGTGTGCCGATTCTCTATATTACGTTGCATATCCTGCAAGGCTGTGAGTCCTGTCAGATCTAAACTCTAATCCCCACTGACGATTGTTTAACCAAATGTCACACTCACGGAGCACGTATACACATACCTACAGAAACTTTGTGATTTGCCTCAGACTTACTGTTTAATTCACTGTCAGCCTGACACAATACAGGTTCACAGTCCTGTCCTCACATTTCTGGGTGACACATCTAGACATGCACACACACACACACACACACATATACATACAACTTGTGCCGTGGTTTTGTGCTCCTGGCTTAGATGCCCAGTAGCACAGGTGTAAAATGATGTGTATTACTGTGTTCAGTCTGATATTAAGCCTGGTAGGTATCCTAATCATGATGAATATCACTGACTAATGATTGTGTTAGGTTAATTTACTTGCGGTGTGTTTAATGTCTGTGACTGAAACTGATACGAAAGAACATGAGAATGAAAAGTGACTCTGTAGGACACAGCACAGATACATGGTAAACATCATCCATCATGTCAAAATTGACTTTAAATTGACTATTAATCTGATCTGAGAGCAAGACATACAAGATAAAAATGACTGCAAAATACACGAGGGTGTAAAATGGACTTATTTGAAATCAATTTTTGTAGAAAACCAGTGTTACAGGATGGGAGTGAATTTGCTGGTCACTCAGAAGAAGAACACTGAATTATTGCCTGGGGGCACTGAGGTGTAGATTCCTATTGAGCCTCTAGCAAGTTCTTAAATTTAAACAGTAGCTGTACTGTAGTACTGTATAGCTACAGTAATGGCAGTAAGATCACTGCACTGTACATACAGTATACTGGATCAGTGTGGAGGTCTGGAAGGAGTGTTTACAAAACCAGTTAGGAAGGAAATGCACTGATTGCAACTTGTACTGGAAAATGACTATAGTTAGGAATAGATCGGATTCATTGGATGGTGTAGAGTGCAAAACTACAACACTGTGAATTGAAAGACTGTAAAAAAAACTGTTTCGATGGTTGGATTTTCGCTTTAAGGCTATTCAGTCCGAGAAGAAGTCATACTGCATCTAGAGAATGCAAGTTATTATTATTGTTTCCCTTAAACATCTGTACAAAATAGCACACACTTAACAGCAAGACTTAAATTGAACTCATTGAATATTTATTTATCAGACACACACATTGCATTTAGTTACATTAGCCGTTACTTGGCAACAGTCCAATGACAAAAAACCCACACAAATTTTCACACTATTTATTAACAAAAAAGTGAGTAACTGAATATGTTTAATATTACTGAAATGGCATTTCAGGTAAAAAAGAAAGAAAAGGACATTTTCCAAACTGCCAAAGTAAAATATCACAAAATAAAAGAAAATTCGTACTTTAATAAAATCCTACTGTAATAAATTTTTTTTTTGCTAATGATTTTCCATCTTACAGTAAAACCAGACAGAATAAGGTCCCTTTGGCTCCCAAAAAGGGAAAGAAGAAACACAAGTGTTTATTAAGACACTTCAATCTTGTTGTCAACTTGACAATTGACAGAATTCCGCCACAGTCATTACACTGTACATGCACATGGCTGAAAAGGAGCAAAACCTCTAGGGTTTTTTTCCCTTTCCACATACAGTAGTTTATGCATTCAACAAACATTTCAGCCCAAACTGGCCGTCAGAGGTTTTAAAAAGACACTGGAAGTAAAATCACCTGAGTGAGATACTGCATATATATATATATATATATATATATATATATATATATAATATATATATATATATATATAAACTTTCGTCAAGTTAAAGTGGTATTTCAAGAATCAACATTTTTGTACACTTTGCTCTTTAAATATCAATATGTTCTTTCCCCAGCAGGAGGATACAATGGACAAGGTGTGTAATGTAAACATGCTATGATCAGTTCTTCCTGATAGTACAATATCTGTTACCTCTACTGGACGCTAGTGACACTTGTGTGTGTGTGTGTGTGTGTGTGTGTGTGTGTGTGTGTGTGTGTGTGTGTGTTAGAGAGACATAAAGGATGAAGCAAAGTAAGGATAGATGGTAGATATGTATGTATGATTGTGGTCCAACATATTCTACATTCAGGGACACATTTCAGACTAAAAACCTGTTAATTGGCAACTTTCTCCCAACTGGGAAGGAGACCTGTGTCTCCAATTGGGAAAATGTTGATTTTTGTGTAAGGGGTTTTGTACAAGTAAGTGTGTGTGTGTATGTGTGTATGTGTGTGTGTGTGTGTGTGTGTGTGTGTGTGTGTGTGTGTGTGTGTGTGTGTATATATCAGTCAGCCTCCTGTCTGTAGTGCAGGACGTAATAGTCATGGACGTACATTAGGACGGCAAATGGCTGACCTATGATGATCGAGATCCACACTGCAGCGTTGCCGTAGTTACCACGTAGGAAGTGACCAACAAACCAGGCTAATGGAAGCTGATAAGTAAAAAAAAAAAACAACAGACATAGTGGGTGATTGGGTTTTTCATGACTAATTACAGCCTCTCATCCTCTGTGTGTACTGTTTTCTGATTTCTGTTGTCTGTGTTTTATGACTCAGCACACTATAATAAATAACAAATAACAACAAAGTCAGCAAAGACCAGGAAGCACTTACATTGCCCATTGTCCTGCCATATTCCCCAATGATACATCAAACGTGTCCTGTCACGCTAATGATGTTTTTAATCAAGTTAATGATACTGGAGCTAAACACTGAGAACACCTTTTAAAGGTAGCCCTACGGAGTCAAAAAGAACATCACCCACTTGTCTTCATTTTGACTTTTATTATTAAAAAAACTATTTATTAAATGCCACACCTATACCCATTTTCTATAACTTCTAACAGTTTTAAATCAAAATTTAAAAAAAGTTTTTTAAATATCAGTACAGGTTGTTGCTGACTACAGCTGTGAGTCTATCATCAGTGATATCTGTTGGGTCTTACCTGTGCCATCATGCCCATGAAAGCCCACAGTCTGAACATCCTGAGAGGAACGCTCACCAAGTACTGACACAGGGAAACAAACAAATTACATTCAATACATTTTAAATAAATATAATCTGACATCTACACAAGAACATTTACCAACAAGATAAAGTTCTCTATCAAGCCAGTTGGACCAGTCACTGTAGTTTAGCCTATGCAGATACAATATCGATATGATGCCAGTCATGCTCCTAAATATATGCTCTTTGCTTAGGTGAAGACTAGATTCAGGGATCCTTTAAAAGTCCTTGTACTAGGTCAGGGAAGCGTTTTCCGGTATAACAAGTAACTATTTGTAAAAATAGCATTAGATAAGCAGGGATGATGGCGGGACTACCGAGCAGGCTATGGCCTTCAGATCAAGCCACAGTGGTTTAGCCTAAGCAGATATAATATAGATGTAAAGTTGGGTCAAGCCAAATCCGCTCTTTGTTTGGGTTAGTGTAGGATTTGAAGGCAGCTTAAAAAAAATGTCACATCAGGACTACTAGAGAATGGTGTCTGTCAGAGGGCCCGGTAGATTTATGATGGCACAGCCTGATACTGAATGCAGGGCCTAATGATAGGTCAAAGCTTTATTTAACATGAATAAAGGGCTTCTATTGAATTGCCTTTGACAACTATCTACATTGTCAGCATAATCAGCGAAAGTGGTCTTGGTCTCAGCTCTTACCTCATGGAAGAAAGCCGACAAGAAGAAGACAGCTGATTGGCTGACTTTTTTACTGAATCCTCTCCTCAGCAGCGGCTTGTAAAAGTGGCTGCAAGACAGACAGAAGAACAGATGTTGGACCAGGTGGATGGACACATGATGGGGTGGATGGACATATATCTTTAATCAGAAAGTCAAATGCACTGATAGAAGAAATTACTTAAGGACGACGATATAACTTCTTGTGAAATCTGTTTTGTCATTTACTATCTATTTTCCTAGTGTGTAACTCTCCTTCGTCCTGTAATTCTCCTTTCCTGGCAGGAATTAAACCGTTTAAACTGCATTTCATTTACTTTGTCTTGTTTAATATAATCTGGCTGCATTTGCTCCTGCTGCTATGTTAGTGTATGTGGAACTGGCTGCAGGCACTGTATTTATTACTACCACTTACTCTCTCATAGCCAGATGAATCACTTTCCCAAATACATTGGTGTGCCTTGTTAAGCCTTGTTCAGTTCTATAAATTTCACTGCTCCCTCTCAGTGTGTTAGTGTGTGAATAACTCACCGTAGACACCACTTGTGTACAGGGATGTTCCAGTTCTGCCAAAAATATGTCACTGACTCAGAGTTCCTGAAAGAAGCGTCAGAAAAATAGTGTACTGAAGCATTATAGGGTCTAAATAATGGATCTAAGGCAGTTTGATCAATATTGACGAACATGAAAAAGTCTAAAATCGTTAATATCATGCAGGAACAGAAAAAGTAATAGTAATTATCCTAGAGTAGACTGAGTGATAAAAATGATTTGTTCATATCAGCAAAGACATAAAGTGATGCATCCGGAAAATGTACTCCTCTACAAAAGTCTACAAAGGGCACTGTTAAAAGACCAATGGTTGTGTTAAACTACACCATAAACACTACTAAAATAGAGTTTCAAAACTCCATCATACCTCATAAAATCCAACCCAGATACAAACACACACAGAGACTTACCACCAGTCCTTGTAGAACTGTCTGTCTCCAAAGCGCAGCAGCTCAGCAGTGAAGTTCAAAGACGAGTGGAAGAACCAGTAGAAAAACATGAGCCACATCAAATGATTAGGAACCTAGAGAAGAGTTAGATGCGTGGAAGATCCAAATGAACAAAAGAAAAATATATGACTGTGAGACATTTAATCCTCAATATGTGTAACAGTAACATTTAGAAATAGTAGTAATAATAATAATAATAATAATAATAATAATAATAATAATGTAGATCATAATAATAAATACAATACATGTTGTATTTCTACTCACAGCTAATCTTAGAAGTCTCTCAGTCATTCTGGAAAGATCCATGTCCTACAGAGGAGAGGAGAGACACACAGATTAACAAACATGTTGTTTTGTGCAATATAAGCTTCACTGCCACTCTGTCTTCCTTACCTCTAATGGTTTCATGGAGCTCTGAATGATGGGAATCATCCACTGATGGAAAGAAAGTAAAAAGCTGTGTTAAGTGTATTCTGGTAATCAATTATATTTAGTATAAATATACAAATAATGATATTAATCATTGAAATGTGAATAGACAGACAAATGTAGCACCATACATCAGTTGTGGTTTACAGTATAAGCCCGTACCTGTTGAGTGAGAGCAACTAGCAGCTGGGTGAAGAACAGCTGGGGACAAGGACACACGTCAATAGAGTGAGTGATTACACAGAAATAGATAATTAGAAAAGAAAACAGTGAAGCATTTTTTAAAGTTATGTATCATTACTTAAAGCACTCAAGTAATTCTACTACAGTACTGAGTAGAACAGAGACATGTCTGATTTTTTGATTTCTCATGTTACTTATCCTGTTGGACTTCGCTGTCACCATGCCCCCAGATCTCAGCGTTTAACTTGATGTGTAAAATATTATCATAACTGCTAATAATGATGGCCAAACCTACACAACCGACACAAAGTTTACCCTTACAAAAAGCAACAATAGACCTTACATCCCGTTCACCACCATGTAAAGCAAACATGAAGCTCTTAACAACTGTGCAGGTGTACTTGCTTCTTAAATACTTTTTCTGGGAGATGATTGGAAAAATTCCAAGCAGTTAGATCAGTCATTACCAGAAAAAGGGGGCATATTTTGACTGGAAGCTACAGCTACAGTAAGTGTGTTTTTTTTCTCTGCCTGACATGCTGACATGAGATATTTCCTCACCATCTCAAACAGTCTCCTCAGCAGGAAACTCATGCGAATATTAGGCGAGCGAGGGAAGTTGAGCTCGTAGCACAGAGTCGGAGCAAAGACAAAGTAGTACATGTCTACACAGATGGAGAGAAGGTTTATGGGAGAGTTAAAAAAAATCTAACTTATGAAAAAGAGGCAGTGGTGTATGATAGAAACATTTAAGTTTCATACAATTGCTTAAAAGATGTATTTGAGTACCTCTGATTGTGAGGTTGCCAGGGTAACACACCTGTCGGTCACCTCCATTGAGGGTCTGTCCTGAGGGACCTGAGGGCAGAAGTAATGCACAAACCCACATGACATTGCAAAGTATTTGTGAGGTAACATTGTATTCTATGACTCATTAAATAGAAATACAAATTAAAACAATGAAAAATAAATGCAGATGTTGATATACAACAATTTCCTGTTACATAATCAAGATTTCCACACAGTTCTGTGACAGTTCCTGTGTGCTAAACTGTCAAGCTTTCATTTTGTCAAAGAGCTGCAGTGTCAAGTATCTGCCATTAGATGTCACTGTAACAGCATGAGCAAGGGTCTACAAAGAAATTAAATATATACACAGAAACTGACCTTAAAGTTAGCATAGAATATATTCTCATTTAGGTCCTAAATTGAAGAAGCCCTCTCTTGTAAACATAGGTATGTGCATGTGTATTTGTGACTTACAAGACAGCGACCTGGCCAGTTTCTTGGCCTTGACAGTGCTCAGCTCTCTGCACCACATGTTGACGTCCTTATAAGAGTACAGCTTTAGGAAGAGGATGGTGTAAGTACCAAGAACGAACACACCACCAACTGCCAGAGAGAGAGAGAGAGAGAGAGAGAGAGAGAGAGAGAGAGAGAGAGAGAGAGAGAGACAGAGACAGAACCAGAGATGAGAAGGAGAAATGAGGGAAGGGCAGTAGAGGGTAGAAAATGGGGAGGAAGGAAGGAAGAAAGAAGGGAGGATGAGATAAAGAGAAGGAGAAAGTGAGCAAAAAGTACGACATGGAGGATGGAGGGACAGAGAGTGAGAGAATGGAAAACAAGAGAAAAACAAAGGAGGAGTAAGCGAGTGAAAAGGGAAGTAAAAGAGAGAGAGGTTGTCATTTGATCTTGAACAAACAGCAAAACAAGCCCAGTAAAATAAATCATCTCAACAAGTATGAGAGCAGTCTAACTATGCCAAGGACATTATTATACAATATAGTCACCATGTTTATCTGTGTGTGTGTGTGTGTGTGTGTGTGTGCGCGCGCACGCGCACACTCATTCAACTGTGTCAGAGTTCGTCTTTGTGAGTCAATTTAATGATTTAATTTATTAATAAACTCTTTTGAACCCTTTAGTGCATCTTCGCAACACGCACAAACACAAACACACACACACACACATGCTTGATAGAAAAGGACCATGCAGAACAGAGAGGAAGACACAAGCCGATGAACATACACCCACATGTATGTGCACAAACACACAAAAACACACAAATGAAAATTGACTGTTGTGCCAACAGGGTGAGGTGGAGGTCAGCACACCTGGCATCAAACCACAGCAGATCTTATCCATTAACCATCTGGCTCTGTGTGGCTTCAGGACAACTACATTGGCTCCAAGACAGCGAGTGTAGATAGCCATCATAGAAACACAGAGCCACAGCTTCAGTGCAAAAGCATACCAGGGGAACCAGTCATCACTTGGTCTCAGAAATCACAAACAACCACTTTAAATATCTAAAATCTCAGGTAGGTTGACTTTTTTTCTTTGGGTTGTTTTTTTCTGTCAGAAGAATCTAGAAGAGCAGCGACCGGGAGTGCAATGAGTTACAGATTAAAATGCTTCCTTTTTGTAGGAAGTAAGACTTGTCTTACTGCTTTGAGGTAAGTCCTTCCAGCTAAAAACTTTAAAACCTGTTCTGCTGCCAGAAATGGGAGGTTCAGTTCAATCAGGTAACATGATACCATAGATGACACACCTTGCTTTCCAGCCTGTACAGTATGGATTATTTCATTAGTGTGGATCTGAGACGTGAACTTAGAAATCTACAAGGACATTGTGTTTATTGGCAGCACCTGCAGAGGATTTCTACTTTTTCATTCATTATACTGAGAGATGCTGAGTACCTGCCTCTAAAAAAGCTTATTTTGCTCTCTTGTCTATTGTTTCTACAAAAACATCAGCAAGCTTTAGGTTTTACAATGAGGAAACTTCAATAAAAAAAAAAAAAAACCCTACTTGTAAAACACATGAGGTATACAGGACTTGTATGTTCACCCCATTGACAATCTATATAAGGTTATATATTGGTTTCAGCAAATCAGATCTCATCATGAACATGATAAGAATTTATATTAGATTATATTGTATTAAATATCAATACATTGGCAACTTTGGTCCATAGTTGGTTCTATATTGAGATATGTATTGAATCAAACACTGATAAACACAGCTAGCTTGCAGCAGGCTTGTACACACTAAAGGACATCAAGAGCAGTGGAAACAATGACAGAAAGGACAGTTCCCCCTCATCATATTTCTCTAAAGATATTTATTACAACTGATACAAATGAAATTAAGCTTGATATTAGATCCTTGCACGCTGCTTCGTGTACAATGGCTAAATATTGCTGTATTACTGTAGGAGTGGTGTAAGTGGTGCCCAGTTGATGGAATAGCTCCTTTAACACACACATATCTGTACATAAACACACACACGCCTGCCCTCTGTCCTTGCCCTTCCTGTGTGAACAGCAGCGCAGAGAGGAGAACAGACAGACAGATGGACTGACTCTTTTACTACTTCACCTCCCAGTGAGATAACAGATGAGAGGAAAGGAGAGGGGAATATACCAAAATGGGAGAGTAGCAAAAAAATAAACAATAATTTTGTAGGACCAAATTAATTTGACTGTAATGTGTGTCAAATTACACTAGAAACTCTGTCTGTCTCCTGATCAAAGTCAGAAGTGTCCCAACTTCAGCTTTAAAAAAGGACTGAGAGTGAGCTAAATACACTTTGTTAATGGTGTAAAACACTCCTACTGTGGAACATGTGTGAGTTAAGCGACAAATATGACCTTGGCAGAGGAATGTTTTCCATTTTCCAGTTCAAAATATGTATCCCTGGTAAGGTTCTTTACTTTTACCGGCCTGGGGGAAGTATGCACATTTTCTTACACATTCTACTACTCCAAAATGAGGAACACTGACTTTGTGGTAATGCATTTTCTACATTTGGTGAAGAAATAATTGTTGAGTCCATTTACTTTGCAAACAAAGAGTAATATTTAAGTGACTGTGAACATCTGTATATTGTAACCAATGCACATCAGGCAACTTTTTCCAAACCTAGCTCTAAAATGTTTTGAATAATTCACTCCCAAGGAATACAGTGTGCTGGTGTATTATGTCGTGTAAAGTATTGCTAATTCATCATGGGTGAATTGTATCATTTGTGGAAGGAGGCCATGGTTTCTGTCAGGCAGCCTGATGAAGACAGAAGAAGGTGACTCTTGGATGACCCTGCACTGCAAACCACACCTACTTTGGCATCTCTCCTGTCTTTTCCTTCTCTTTCCCTTCCTTTCCTCTCCTCTCCTCTCCTGTCCCCTCCTCTACTCAGAGCCAGCTGGAAATAATCCAGTCATGACCAACTGGTCCATTACCACTAACCGACTCCAATTATGACTCTCTATAAGAGATGTCTTTTACTGCAATATCACACTGGTCGACTGTTTCTCTGAAGGGTAAGGAGATGAATGTCCTCTTAATCTTTATGACAATTACATTATTTTCTGTTTTACACACATGGCTACATTGTAAACTACCAATGAATGGATAATGGTTTGGCTGCGTAATAGATGCTTCTCTATTAGTCAAGTATTTATATCTGTTATGTACAGTAGGTAGTAACAAGGCTGCAGAGATGGTATTTTCATAACAGTAAAAAAAACAAAACATTTTACCTGGGGTCACGGAGGGGACCAATAGGACCACTGCAGCAGGAAATGTTAGCATGACTGCCATGTTAGTGCAATGAACCAGAAATCCCACAAGTTCAGTGAATGAACCCTGGGCAGAAAGAGAGAGGCAGAGAGGGACAGCAAGAGTTTTTACATTAAATCTTAAAAACAGCAAGTTGTCCTATTTTAAACCGCTGTCACTCGACTAATTGCCTTGATTTTGTTTGCAGACTTTTAACTGCTTTTAAACTTATTCTAAAAAAGCAGTGAAAATAATACAGCGGCTGAACATGAAAGTTTTAAGCATTTCTTTTGCTCTGCTTTTGAACAGAAAGATATTTTAGTTAGGGTGGCCTATTAAAGTTTTTAAAAGCTCATGATGTTCCATATTCATGCCAAACAGACAGAGCATAACTGAATATGCCCTAAATGGAGATGGTGAAACGAATTTCTCATTTCACCGTTTAACATTTGCAGATGCAATAGAGGAAAGTCAGCAAGTCAGTCAGTTTTAGAGAACAGTTTTAGAAAAATAATCCCTCATGGGAGTTGGGAAAGTGCTTCGATTCAACAGTTCGTTTTTTTTTTTAAATACTCAGTGCTCTGATGTGAAAGTGCAAGCAGGGTTTCTCCACTCACCTTTGACAGCTGCCTTTCTGTGTAGAGAGCCACCAGAATGAACACGTTGGACACTGTCAAAACACAATGAGAGATTTATGTCAGCTGCTCTAAAACAGGCCTTATTACATTTTTACTTACAGATCCACTTCTCTCAGGAGTCTCAAGTATGAATATGATTCTCATAAAACAAAAATATTTCTTTATATGCCTATAAGTCATTCTCTAATTAATGAAATTAAAATGAAAACACTACTAGGTTTCATTACTGGTATGAAATGTGAGAGGTGAGATGCAGGGGAAGTATAGAGACAAAATATTTGAAGAACCAAATATCAAGTTCCTGAGGCAACTGTTATTATAATATGTTGTACATTGTTGCTGTTTGGTTCAGGCAGATTATTTTGTCAATATCCAGTTAGTTCTGAAAGGCCTCATTAGGCGGAGACTTAAAGTGAAAACACAAAGCTTACCAAACTGGATACAAGACAAGCTTTTCACATGAACATAAACAGGCTGAATTTTTACTGAGCACATCAGAAGAGAGTGAATTTTGCCTCTACCATATATACAAAAGACTGGGACACAAAAGAATTCTAATTTTTTAGTCATGAACTTTAATAATAAAATGCTTTTCAAGTGCCTTTTTAGCAAGACCCTGTTCTATCACATAAAACACACACACACACACACACACACACACACACACACACACACACACACACACATACACAGTCACAGACTCTCACATGATTACACTGCAACACCTGATGAAAGAAATGAGCCAGCACTAACAGAGCATATGTGTTACACAGCACACACACACCAACTGCTAGACTGTTGAGCAACAGCGCAAGTGTGTGGGTGTGCGTGCACAGGCACACGCATTGTGTATTTCAGTTGTTGCTATTTTTGTTTATCTGCACAAACATTGTTTTATATTTAGGAAAGGAAATGAAAGAGAACTTGATTTGTATTTAACATCGACAATATTGACTTTTAGAGAAATGTGCAAATATTGGGACATGTTTGAGCCAAAAATAGGTTTTAGTTCCCAGTCCTTTTTTCCACGCACAGTTTATTATGCATCAATTCTTACCACTAAGCCTGATTCTGTGTGGAGCAAATTAGGCTAAAATGTATGTAGATTTTTCCTTTTTATTTCGTGGTAGTGTGAGTTTAAACTGCAGGGTAACTGCTAAATGAACTTAAGGAAACCACTGGGATGTAGATTGCTCATTACCCTGACTAGTCTAGGCTGAGCCACACTGATGGCACATAATTGCAGCAATTGTTCCATTTTAAGACCCTAATCAGTGCATTAGCATGTCAATCCATCTAATCTAGAGCGAACAGATGTGTTAACTGTTGACATTTTGATTACTGGGTCTTATCATCCTGTCATCAATGCAACTATCCATCAGCAATGCCATCCCAAATCAATTAGTTAAACGCTTCGCTCACATGCTTGTTTTTGACTTTGTGGTGAACTTTGTACTGTGAAGAAACAAGAAGGTTCTAAGAAGGATCAAATGCCTTACAGGCAAAACTCTTTTTCATGTGACGATGACGTTAACCTGCTTTATGGACAGTGAAAACTATTTCATTCATCCTGTCATAATTTGCAGTTACTTAGATAGAAGTAGGCATCATGTCACCAGGTTTCTGCATATATGCTCCTTATAGTTACATGAGAGTATGTATTAAGACACTTTTATCTTGTCTACTAGCTGTACAACTGTGATTTTCAGAGAATATGTAATTTGTAGTATCATAAAATATTATGATTTTCTAAAAGAATCATTAATTTCAGCATTTTTGCTCCACTGATCAAAGGTTCAGAAGTTGAGACATTTAACCAAAATAAGTACTAAATTCTGACAGTGTATTTTCTGTTCTTCATCCTACGTCAAGAGTCTATCCCATCCGAAGAGCACAGATCTCAGGAAATGCATATAATGCTGCTAATGTTCTTTTTTAAATCCCCTTTGGAGACAGACCGGTTGAGCATCTTTGACAAACAGAACACCATTTAGCACCTGTAAACCACATAACACTTTCATCAAGCATCTACAGAGCTAGAGGTAATGTTACCATAAATTGTAGACTTCTCATTTACTCTGTGCTGGTGTATTTGTGTGTGGGAGTGTGCATGTGTGCGTTTGTGTATAAATTGCTGCAGTGACTCTATAAGTATTGAATGCACTCTGGAAATGAGCTGCTTTACTGCCCATGCTAGTGTAAACAGACTCCCGTTCTCACCTGTCTCTTAAGCACCGTCAGTGCAGTCGTTTACCTCAACTCATCCATCTCTCCCTCCCTCCCTCTTCTCTTGTGTCGATGCAGTACTTTACATCATCTTCCTTCCCCACTCCTTAACTCTCCCTCTTTTCCAACTTGCCTCTAGTCCTGCATTCTCTCCGTCTTCCTAACCCTTTCTACAGACCTCCCATCACTTCCCTTTCTCATCCATCTAATGCTTCCCTCGACTCAACTCTGTCTCCTCCTTTGCTCCCTATTCTCTCACTCGTTTTCCTGCTTCTGCAGCACAGCACCAGTGTGCAGTATATAGGGCAGGTGATTGTCCCTCTAGAGACACAGTGAGCTGCACCACTGCAGCCTCTCACTGCAATATACCATAAAAAGAAATATTGAAAAACTTTGAGTACAGACTCCAATGTGGGAGGCTTTGGGGGGTTAGGATTGATTCTAGTTTTGGTTCTAGCCATATTTTTTCATCCCATTCTTAAAAACTGGGTTCTTTTCAAGCTCATTTAAACAAAAGGGACATTTTTATATGATTTTCTACCCTTGATAAAATGATAAACTTGATCTTAATCGCATGAATTATAATTTATGTGTTAAATTACGTGACTGTCTGTGATTGTGTTGTTGCAGGTGACTTATTGGATAGACGAGAACTTCACCTACCAATCACCAGGCATGCTGCTGGCCAGCTGTAGGGATCATTCAGAAACAAGGAAATCACCTGAATAGGGTCCACCAGAATACCGTACCTGGCAAACAAAACAAAAAGAAAAAGGAAGGAAATAAATGGCAGATTAGAAGAATAGAAATAATTAATTAAACTGCAATTGCATGAATACAGAAATAGTACTGGTTTATTTTTTGTTTTATGTTAGTATATAGACGTTTTTCAGAACAGGAAGAGCACAGATGTCACTAATCACATTAACAATGTTACTATAAGAGTCCCAGTACGTCATCGCAGTTGCTATTGGTGATTCAATTCCACCTATGTTTATTAGATATGTAAAAATGTCTGTGATGAAAAAGATCTAATGTCTAAATAAAGCACTGATGAGACGTTCAAGGATTAGGAAGAAGTTTGTGAAATTTCTGAGAACCTGGTACGTGTGTTTAATATCTTTCACAGTTAACATCATTGGAATCTTCTCTATTTAAAAACGACATACTGAGCACAGGCATACAGGAAACCTCTTGAAATATCAGGTAATATCAAGTATTTATTGTTAATGTGAAGCATACAGGAATAAGAAAAGAGTACCTACTCACCTTAACAAGTTCTCTAAGAAGAGGCGAGCATTACTTAGTACCTGTAACACAAAGCAAGAGTTAAAGATCCGACTGTCTCATGTAAGTATTTCCGTTTGTGTCTATATGTATGTTTCTTTCATATTGTCATGTCTCCTTCTGGTGCTCCCCTTCTTTCCTACCTCTCCCTATATCTCATGTCTTTCCTATCCTCAAAATATTTCGCCTCCTCTCATTCTCCTCCTCCACACATTATTTTTTATCTCTCCTCCTCACTCTTCCTCTTTCAAAATGGATTGTAATATCTCATTACCCAGCACAAAGGCTCTATGCCTGGGGATGGGACAGAAGTTCAGTGGGAATGAAGGAAAACCTCCTGTGATGAACACAACGATCTGTGTTCAAAGCCTGGATTAACAGAAGGCTTCACTAGCCTTCTCTTCCTTCCTATCCTTTCATATTCGCTTCTCCCCAGCACGGACGAGGAAGAGCTGCAAAAGCTGTTGAGCTTGACATAAACTTGTTAATCATTTTAAATTATTTGACTGTTTTTACACATATATTGGATATTTTGAGAAAATGCTAATTCAACAACAAAAGGGTTTTGATGCGATCAAAACAAGCAACTGCATAACTCAATAATAAAGAGAGTAATAACTCCAAATGTTCTTAATTATTTCATGAAACACACATATAATTTGCCTGCACTGTAACATGTTTGATTTAAACCATCAGATACAACCACTTGCTAAGAGTTTTTTTGCAGTGTGGTTAAGTTGGTAGGAAACCAGATCTGTTAGAGAATCAGACACGATGAGTCTCTTTGACTATTTATAGAACATTTATAGACTTTAGACTGATTCTTCCCTATTTGATGTAATTTAGATTTATTTGATGGTATCAGTCTGTGCCAGTGGATTATCTACTTTCTCATTCTGTTTCATAGTGAGTTCTATGAAAGAGTCAATGAGCACAAGCTGGATATTAACTGAATTATAACAATGCTACTTCACATCAGTGCACATTTGGGATTCACTTGTGGTTTGCTTTCACATATTATAAATAATGCATCAATGCACTGTTAGGTTTAAAACATACTTTTATTCTCTAGCGTTTGAATCCTCCTGATGTGGCTGATTGTTGTTTTTTTGTCTGGTGTGCCTATGCCTCTGTGTTTGTTATCTGTAAATTGATTTTTTGATTTTATGTCAACATTTAGTTTTAACTGCGTTTCTCTTTAATTATGGTCTCCTCTACCTGCTCTGGTTTATACAGCACTTTGGTCAGCAAGGGTTGTTTTTAAATGTGCCTTAAAAATACACTTGATTTTAAAACTAAAGACAAAGAAACTGTAAAATATATGATAGAAAAAGGCACCAGGATATATATAGGAAGACAGTACTGATTTCAGGATTCTAGGTTTTAAAAAAAAAAGAATGGATTTGAAAATGCTGTTGCATTAGTGAAATCCTGGGTGTTGTATGTACAGTATATGTATGTTTATTTGTGAGTGTGCAAACTTCTGTCTTACCAGCATGACCACACACCAGTTGAGGACTCCTCTGTAGTTACTGTAACCACTGGCTGAACTCAGCAAGGACTGCTGTGTCTTATGACAGCTACAGAAACAAATTAGATGGCTAAATTGGTTAAGAAATCAAGAACATCACAAGCTTAAGATGCTTTAATTTTCATTTGACTATATTATCATATTGATTTCACAACAAATGATGGATATTAGGTCTTTCAGTTATATGTCTTTCTATAAACCTACACACTGATTTGCTGTGTTTTAGTCAGAAATGAAGACAATAAGAGAGAAGATAATACAAAAAAATACTGTGGCAGGAGAAAACTAGCTTGTTAAAGCGGAAATTGGTCTAATTTTCCAAAGGTGTGGTTCAATTGACACACTGTATTATTTCATTTTGTTACAAAAAATAAAGTACAGTCAACTAATTTTTTGTACACTAAATACCAAGATATTAGTTTTTAAGCAGTCCACAGGGTATAGTTTGGTATTATATAACTGACCTAAGGAAATTAACCCACAATTCACCCTTGTTTATGGGGCCCCTATTAGATACGCCCCTGACAATAAAACAGCCCACATATTGCACTGACACATATTCCTAGCCATACAGATAAAGTGCTAAACTTTTTGTTACTAGACTGAGCAGCATAAAAAATATGAACCACAGTATGAATGAATAGGGGACAACAGAAACACAAAATCAACATGTGTTTTTCAGGACAAGTCCCCAAACGACCCTGGCTGTGACACACCGCCAGCCGTTAACTCCTCTCTGACCGCCACACATTCGAACAAGCTAACGTTCGTTCCGGGCTACTAACACGCTAATGTAATGACATTCTCTTAAAGGAACGTTGAATGGAACGTTAGCCGTTAACATATTTGGTCACAAAACAAACTAACGTTAAACTTTCCTCAAACGGAACCGACAGTTTGGTAACTTCAATACGTTGTAACCATTGACAGCATATGGTTGTAACTCACCTCAGTCGGTCACTTATGTCATTCCTGCATTTCTTTTTCTCACTCTTTGATTTAGACCTTACTGTCTCCAGTGAACGGTCTCGTTTTCCCTGACCATCATCTCTGCTAACCTCAGCGGTCACTGAGTCCTGACACACCGCTGCGGACCTCCCGTTCATCGGCAGCAAACTCGCACTTCTCCCCGCCGCCAAAGTCGCCCTTCTCCTGCGAGTTAAGGCCCCGGCAGCGTCCGAGTCACCCATGAGGACAGAGGGGGGGAAACTTCAAGTTTAGCTACTTCTACAGTTTACTTCTGATAGTAGCATGCCTGTTGCTACTAGCGTGGTAGGCAAGGAGAGGGAAGTGAGCGGAAACAATCCGTCCGAAGCTCAGATTTCACTACAGTTCAGTTGACAGGGGGGTAGGAGTGTGTTCATGACGCCACATCATGAAGCTCCCAGCAGCCTGGGAACTGTTACACACTGTTACCGACAGGTGAGTCACTACCTGGGGGTTTGTTCAAGGAAACAGTCTTCATGCAAGTCTGGGTTCCTTCCAGAATAACAGAAGTGTTGTTTTGAACCCATACTATCTCATTGTGCATCTGATGCGTGAGGGATGCCAGCAGGATATAACAGAAGACAATTGTTTATAATGTTATCTCAAGGTCCATTTAGTTAGCTGTTTAGCTTTCGGTCATATCACATGATCATCTTGGAGTTTGCTCAAAGTTGTCAGAGACGTGTCTTAGTTAAAAGCTGAAGAAACATCCACAAATAAAACTCAGGCATGTTTTAAAGGATGCATTAGATGTTTAGTAGTGCTGGTAAACATGGTTAGCAGTGCGACAGCTGCACCTCTGAGACTTTAGTAAGCAAAGTGAAGAGGGTCTAAGTGCCTGGCCGCAGAGGGAGTTTAAACTCGCTCCATGTCATTCATTAGCTTTTTTGGCACAGGCTCAATGGCTTTCCATGATTTGGGCATTATCCATGTGTTGAACAAGCACTAACAACCTTGTCAAGACTCCTTCTAATCGGAGGGGACACAGTGTGTAATGGTATGTGCCTTTAGTCTGTCTGGGGTCTGGACCAGTGGCCTTTTTTGGCTCAGTAAGCTGAACAGTGGGAGTAAGTGTGTATCACAACAGTGCAAGTAAGTAGATAACACAACAGTTGGTCCTATAAATAGCCCCCTACGGTTAAATAACCTCTCAAAAGCACCATAAAGACAACAGAGGCTGATTAAGTGCAGTTAAAGCTGATGGCTGTTAAGCTACTTCAAGGATTCAAGGTTATTTTATTGTCACTTACTTAGTTTCCTTTATGCTACTTGTAAAACTAAATAAAAATTTATTGATAAATCATAAAAAAAAATCCTAATTTGTATGATGATGTGCTGAGGACAAATTTAGCAGAATTTACTTACATCTTAAACAGATAACATGTCACAATGAAGAGCTGAGCTTGACAAGTTTTACAATGTCACACAGTGGCTACAGTAATAAGTAAATCCCATCTGATTTAGGAAACAACGTTCCTTTCCTCTTCCCTGCCTTACCTCTGTTTCCACCCTCTGAAACTACAAAATTTGACATCTTTTACTGTCGCAGATATGAGAAAAGCAACGTTTCTGTTTTTCATCCATCCATAGTTTGGTGGTGTGTCACTAGTGACTAATATGGACTTTTAGGATTGTGAAAGATACAGATCTCTGTTGACCAATGGCCAAAGTACCTTAACAGTCCAATTTTAGGGATTATTAATTTTCTGTAATGATATGGGTACTCCGACTATCTTCCCTGAGACTGTGGCAAACGGGATAATTACATTGCTTCCCTTAAGTCTTTTCTTCTGTGTAGCAGCAAAAATAGTGTTTAAAAGCTTTCATTTAATGAGAATGCCCTTTCTGTCTATTTTAGTTTTTGTGTGCTTATCCATACTGTGGTTGGAACTGATCAGTGGCATTGATCCAGTTTTATCAGTCCTTACTGTCTATAAGGTTGTCTTTTAGAGTAATGAGCCTGTCTCCAGTTGTTGGGATAAGACACCTTGGGGAGGGATCAATAGGAAACTTATCACTAATTGTTTTAACTCTTAAACTCCTTGCTGAACTACATTTCCTTTTGTTTCCCCCAAACCATTAAAATATATTAAGGTCCATCTCAAGTTGCCCTTTCGACTGTCCTCTTGCTTCTTTTGTCTTTTGTTCGTGTGAAATGATTAAAAGCTGGTCTGCTGTTTGAATATGAGGGACAAAATCAGCATAGTTCCTTCTGATTCAAAGTTTCGGCATTTGGCTGCCATCTTTTTCTAACAAATTGTAATAACCTTCCTCAGGCAGGCTGTGCAGAAGAGATGTCTCAGCCACAACGGTGCAACAATTCCCACAGCCGTTATCATCCTGCTCTACGAACCAGTAGAGGGAGTCCGAGACTTGAATCTCGTTCCTTTCTTTTGGTGAGTCATTCCATTGTGTTGTGTCTTTTCTTAAGGCTGAAACACCTTGAGTCAATATCTGTTTCACGCCCTGATGATATGTCAAAACATTTGTTCTTATTAGAAAATGCATTCATGAATAAATACAAGCCAGCAATATAGCTTTCATGTTTTGATGAGCAGTTAAGATGTTTTCTGCTGGACATTGGCAAATTCAGAGAGTTGGAAAAATGAACCTGAGTTGAACTTGGGCTCAATGCCGTCTCTTTTTCTATAGCATACTGTTGAAGCTGCTCTATTGCGTGCAAGTCTGTTAATGCTCCACAGATCAAGTTATTTTTGATAACATCTAGCCATTTAAAATTTAGAGAATAAGAGGTTTTACCTATGTATTATTCATACTTTCTGTAGGGCCACAAAAACTGAAGCTTTCTAGTAGCTCTCTGTCTGAGCTGTGAGAGGAAAGTAGGAGCACGACAAATTTTTCTCTATCTTTCTTCCTGCCTCCTGCTATAGAAACATGACCTTTGAATTACCCTTTCCCTATTTAATACCTCTGTTTTACCTCACATGTCTGCCTTTATCTGTCTGTCTATAACCACTGTATGGCCCAAAATAAGTGATCACCTGAACATTACACATGTATGTGACATTTTGAACATCTTCTTCCAGAAACACAGGCGTTCATTCATGGTTACAACAGCCTCCACTCTTCCTGGGTGCTGTGGCAGGGCTCTTTGCAGGCCAGTAAAATTCTTCTTCAACATGATAAAAGTAATTTCTTTATGGAGCTTGCTTTGTGCACGGAGGTAGTGTCATGTAGAAGCAGGGAGAGTCATTTCCAAAATGGTTTGAACGCTGGAAGCACACAAAATATCATTGTATGGTGCTACATTATAATTCCCCCTCATTCGATTGCCAAAACCATAAAAAAAAATGCCCCAAACAAACAGTTATACGGATCGGCATGTCCACATACTTTTGGCCATATATGTCCCTCTATCTATGAACACTGTTGAATTCACGTTGTTGCATCTGTCAGTGGGTTAAAATGTTTATATCAAGCTGCTTAACCATGCTGGCACTAGCTCAAGGCTAGGTGGGAAAGGAAGAGAGAAAGGCTGTGTGATTGAAAACATAGATGTAAGGCTATAGATATAGAGACAGAAGATAAATATAGAGACGAGGGAACAAGAGAGAAAGAGCAAGATGGGGGGGATACAAAGAGAGGGAGGGAGATCTCACTTTCTATCTACTGTATATCTCTATCTCTCTCTCCCTCCATCTGGAGAGGCAGAGGGAGCGAGAGATAGTGTTTGCCCTTGCAGGTTGTAATGAAGCTGTGGAAGGATAGATGACTCACTTTAGGCAGAAGAGAAATACACACTCCAACATCACTCAGCTGACCTGTGTGTGTGTGTGTGTGTGTGTGTGTGTGTGTGTGTGTGTGTGTGTGTGTGTGTGTGTGTGTGTGTGTGTGTGTGTGTGTGTGTGTGTGTGTGTGTGTGTGTGGGTGCATCCGTGTGACAGCCTGTGTGTGTATATGTGCGTTTGTGATAGTGATGGTAGGAGTGCGGTCTGAGGGTATGTGTGACAATAGAGACTGATGCTGATTATATAGGAGACTGGATGGAGTGATAAAGCTGTCACTAGCTAGACAGAGAGTGATAGAGAGCTATGTGTTCTGCTGGTAGCATGAGCATATGCACGGCGTGTGTTTGTGCGTGCACTAGTAACCGTTCATGGGCATTTTGCGTGTATGAGCACATAACTCTGTGTGCAGCAGATATAAAGCGTGCAAGTGCGCACTTTTCTGTGTATATGTCCGTCCTCACATTAGTAAGTGAGCGTGCATGTTTTTTTTTAGCAAGTACCTATCTCTACATGCACCTGTGAGTGTGTATATATGTGTGTGTGTGTGTGTGTGTGTGTGTGTGTGTGTGTGTGTGTGTGTGTGAGAGCGAGAGAGTGCATCATGGAGGAGACAGATAGAGGCGTCATTACGCTGTTAGAGGGCTTGGAGCCACGTCAGCACTTTTACAGTTCAGCCAAGGACTCCTGCACACACTGTCCATCCATCTCCACGAGTCTGAGGGAGGGAAGAGGTGACAGAGAGAGAGGGAGCGAGAGAAAGGGAGAGAGAGAGACAGATAGAGATGGACTTCCTGCTAGATGACTAGATGACTAGAATCAGGAGGAGAGTGGGAAAATGGTGGATGGAGGAATAAATGATACCAAACTTCCTCTTATAAAGGACCCTGGAATAGATATGCTACATGTAGCTGCTTGTATCAAACTGAACCAAGCTGCGAGCAGAGCTATATCTCATCCTCTCATCATCTGGCCCACGCCGCATGCTCTATTACTGAACTCTTAGCTCATCCTTCCCCGCCGGAAAATTAGCTCCACTCATCCACGGGGGCCTTTACTTCTCTTGGTAACCTTCTGAGGACAGACAGAACTACAGAGTGACTTCCTGTTTTCTGATATATCTGGAGGATTATCCTTTAAAGAACCCTGTAGGTTTGCTTCCTTGCTGAATCACTCTGCACTCTGGAAATCCTTCTGCTGTGTCTAAAACACTGACCTTTTCTCCTCAGCTTATGTTTCATTGCCTATTTTTTTTAGTATACATGATTATTGTAGGAACTTGAGACTGTTGTTACATCAAGAGGGCACTGTGGCTCTGACTCTGGGGACTTTAAGTTGGAGTATTGGCAATTGAGTCTTGATATAAAGTGTCTGCCTAAAGTGATTAAGTGAAATAGTTTTTTCTCCAAGACATCATCTGAGATTTTTTTGCTGTTGAAAATTAATTATTAAGGAATCATATCATAATTAAATAACTGCTTTTTACCAGTTTATAAATGATTGAAAGTCTAGTATTTGCTTAGTTTTGAGATGTATGGTCTTAAAGTAAATAGGATTTTTCATGCCTGAGGACAGCATTTGTTTTTTATCTGATGAGATTATTCAGAGCAACTCCCTTATTTGCATCAGACCCTCACAGCCAGTCAATAGACGTTCTGCTGTCTAGTCAGCTTCAGCATGTTTGGTGTTTATTGAATTTGGATAAACTTATTCCAGCAATACCTTTAACAGCACTTAAGGAAAAAGCTTTCTACTGTCTCATTCTCAAAGAAAATGTTTGCCTGTCATCACCATCATAATTTGTCTTCATAAAATATGTACAAAAAACTCTATCATGTGTTAAACATTATGGTGAAGTACGGAGGATGAAAGATGATTGCTGTAGATGCATCCCAGCTGGCTGCCCATACTTTTTGACTGCCTATTTATGTTTACTTTTTCATTAAATACTTACTTCTGTGTCATCATATGGCAGCGCTATGGACTTCGGCCAAAGCTAGAGATAGGAAGATTTTATTGATACCAATAACATTATCAATTCTGCTTATCAGTTTAATTCTTTGTTGACTCCCTTATTGATTCCTGATACAATTTCTCTGCGAGAAAAAAGTGGACACCGGTTTTTAGCGTCAATTTGACTAATTAATTAATTAGTAATTCATTAAGCAATTATTTTAATGTACAACTGTCAGAGAAACATGCTGGCATTGATAAAAGGAAATGATAAGCTTTGTGACATACGATTCCGATGGATCGGACAATTTGGTACCGGTTCTCATCTGGAACCAGTTCCCGATTCCCATTCCTAAAGCAACCAAAGCAAGGTCTTGGATACAATATTTGCCACTATTGAAAGAATTTTAGAAAAAGGTCAATCTCTGAAACTGTCATTTGTGGTGCCCTGGGTCCGTGTATGTTTTGGTCATTGGATTTTCCTTTCAGAAACAGGTATTAAAAAACTGAAAACGAGTGGTTATTTGATTTTCGTTTTAAAATACAAAAATGAAAATTGAAATACAAGGCGTTTTTCTTTTTCATGGTCAAAAAGGGATGAGCGAAATTAAAAAAAATATTCGATTTTCATTTTCTATTTCATATAACAAAAAATAAAATCACTAGAAAACAGAAACGGAAAAAAGGCATGTTTTATATATTCTGAGACCGGATGTTGTCATTTACAGGACGGTGCTGTGTAGAAGAAACAGTAGAGCAGTAGACTGCGGTCAATCCAGCCGTGAGTCCGATCTCCGTGGTCAAATCAGCCGCACTTAAATTTTGAGTGTACAGGTATTCTCAGCATTATGGTAAATGCGGAGAAACGCCGTATTTACTTCCGGTTTTCAAAATAAAGGTATTTAGAGCCGTAAGCTATAATTAAAATATGTTACATTAAAGTGTTGTGCCCCTGATGAATAAAAAAACAGTTCATTTCAAGTATCTTTACTGCACCAGTGTGGAGAAATACCAAAATAAAAGTCCATATTTGTATCTCCAAGTGGTATTTTCATATATTTGAGCTACTGTAAAAACACTTTGGTCAATAATTCCTGGCTATGGATGATATATTTGACTTCTACACATCTAAGACTACAAGTATACTTAATATCAAGCATTTTTACTGTACCAATGTGGAGAAATTGAAGAGTAAAAGTCCCATATTTATACTTCCAGATTCCATATTTTCTTATATTTGGTCAAATATGCAATCTCTGGAGGCATAAATATGAGGCTTTTATTTTGGCATTTCTCCACACTGGTGCAGTAAAGATACTTGATATAAAGTGTTTTTTATTCATTACGGGCGCATGAAACACTTTAATGTAACATATTTTATTTTAAATGTAGGTTCGAATTATAGCTTACTGTTCTAAATACCTTTATTTTGAAAACCGAAAGTAAATACGCAGTTTCTCCGCATTTACCATAATGCTGAGAATACTTGTACACCAAATTTAAGTGCAGCTGATTTGACCACGGAGATCGGACTCACGGCTGGATTGACCGCAGTCTACTAGTTTCTTCTACACAGCACGGTCCTGTAAATGACAACATCCGGTCTCAGAATATGAAAAACAGGCCTTTTTTCCGTTTCTGTTTTCTAGTGATTTTATTTTTTGTTATATGAAATAGAAAATGAAAATCGAATATTT